CAAGTGTAGGGTTATACCAGAAAATGTGGATGACAACAAGGGAGTAGTAATTGTATCATCCACGCAATCCGAAATCCGCAAATGCTTTCACTCAGGGATACTTTTTTTATTATTAAACTGTAACCATCAGGGGTATTTCCAAATAACGACATCCGATGAGCTTTCGCCGTTATTTGTCTGTTTGTTTAGGCTGAAGAAATTAATTACCATGCGCCCTTTGTTGAAATCTTCATAGATCACGGGTAACCAATCAGTTTTCAAAAATGCGTAAGCTTATTTAGCTGTCATTGCAGACTGGTAGCCCAGTCTCTTGTCACGCTCGGTTGCGTTAACGAGCAAATTGACTCACGGCAGCTAGAAAGCCCAAGCGGAAATCAAAAGGTCGTATTACCAGAAGAATCAACCTTCATTTGCGAAATATCTACTGCTCTCAAGATTAAAGTCAGAATTTTCTAACCAAGGATTACCAGTTGAAACAGGTCGATGGCTGAACATTCCCTGGGAAGACAGCCAGTGTCCACTCAGTGAATCTATCGCTATGGGAGATGAATTGCATTATTTTTTCCAATGTGAAGCTTTTCACCAACGACGATATGAACTCTTAAATAAGCAATATCTTAAGTTTCCAAACATTTAAGAAAATTATGACCACTAACAGTGTAAGAAATCTAAAAGGCCTATCTAAATTCCTTAACAATGTATACAATACAATTGGTAAATTGTATTAGTATCCACGTATCCTATTTTTATTATTTTTGTTAAATTGTACACAATAAAAATTGTAGATAATTGTATGTCATGTTATTCTAAGAATAAATGAGTTTGAGTTTGAGTCCGACACCCGAGAAGAAGCCAGAGATTAGTGCTCCTTTTTGAATAGTTTACAATCATGTGTTTTAGGGTTAGCTGTGTTGGCTTAAACGTATTTTTATTTCAAAAGAAACCTGGATCGGTAAACAAGCAAAACTTGCTTATGTAATACCACTCCAGGTAACAACTTAACAACAGCTGGATATATATAAGAGAGTGATGAACATAAACATACAAAATGCACAAATGAAATACACAAAGCCAATACACTGAAGCAAGTGGTGTCTGTGAAATACGGTAATGCAGTTTTCCTTTACTACATGCATAAAATTAAGCTACTCAAACCTTTTGCTTTTGACAATGATGTCGTGAACTGATTTAAGAAGAGTCATGTTTGTAGAACTGCTTAACTACTGCCACGTAATATTATTTTTAGACCATACCCATGTGTGTAGAAATACACACTTGTCACAGTGTTTCTGATATTATCGTATTTTTTGACAGTTATAGAAAAAGTGAATTGCATCTTCAAGGTGATATCCACAAGTGCAGTCTGGTATGTCTGATACATGTCGTCTAAACTTATCAGCGTTTAAGTCACTGCAGCCGAGCCTAAGGCGACAGTGGACAATTTGGCATGATCTATGAAAATATTTGAAGTCAAAATTATTAGTAATTGCATCAGAACGATTAATTAATGATTTGATTTCTTTTAATGAGCGAGCATTAGTTACTTCATCGGATAGAGGGTTCCGCAGGTTGATCATATCCAGAAGAAATTATTATTAAGCATAGGTCTGTGTTCTACATTTGATTGTTTGTATGTTGAATCTATTTCTAGGGTTATATTTGCTGTTATCAGAGAATTGAATATACACTTTTCAAATATTTTGGCTGAGCAACTTGTGAGTGCTACAGGTCTATAATTTGAGCATTCATGTTCATCGCTGACACTGACACCGCATCAGCCCGGCAGTGGACTTGACACAGTTATTTGCGCACCGATTATATAACTCCTACAGACAGGGTGGGGTGGTTGTTTAAAGCGAAACGGACGACCCCGTCTGTTATCTAATAAATGCTGTGCGGCGCCTTTGATCTTGCCTCAAAACATACACCTTATAGTAGTAAACGACGATCAGGATGGCCTGGAAATAAACACAATTCTGTCTGCCCAGTGTATCCACAATTAACTAGAATGCTTCATATCCACAAATATATATATAGAAAATAGATATTTGCCCACAGCAAATATTCATTTGCTTAATTGCATCAGTATGGTTTATCAGAACATGTACAATGCTTTCTTACGCTTGGTGAGGCAGACTGAAATTGAACATTAGGATAACGTCAGCAGGGATAAAAGAGGTCATACCAAAGAACTTTAATTACTAGTGGAAAAGTCAGACATTCCGATCAACCACTACCAGGCCCGGCCGGATCTCAAGGTTGACCAGATCAACACCCCAAAGGAACATCTCTACGCCAAACAAGGAGTCCCTTTCGTCATGGTGCACAAGAAGGGGGGACAGGACATCGAGTACGACATCACAAACTACACAGACTTGTACCACTTCTTCCAGAGTAGTGGCGTACCGACCTCAAACCACTTCGTCGCCAATACCGCCGCCCTCCTTGCCAAGAGTCTCTACCAGAATCCCAACCCCCAGGATGAGAAGCTGACCAAGAGACTACTAGAAGGATACCGCCGCTAGACTTCTAGCCACATATGCTCGCCAGCCGACGCCGTGCTTTCCCACGCTTGCCCCCCCCCCCCCCCCCCCAGGCCCAAACTTTTCCATATTATTGAATATTCTTTTATCACCCACTCCCACCCAGCCAAACCGCAACCCCTTTAACTTTATTAGAATGGGCTGTAAACTTATATTTTTTTGGGGTGTGTGCACTTCTTTATTTAATCATTACGCTTTTTTACCCTAATAGTATAAGTGCTTCCCCGTGTGCGAGATAGGCTTAAGTCGGAAAGCGCACGTTAAATCTCCGAGGTACCTATCTACCAGAACTTTATTTGCTGTTCTGGTCATACATAAATATATGTAAGTTACGTACATGGGGAGGCTAGATTATTTACAGCTAACAGCAATATAGTGCAAATATTATGTTCAATAAAAGAAAACGTTGATAGATCTATAACACACTTTTTGTACTAATAAACAAACTGTGGACTTTTAAGACATTTTCGCTTATTGTAATAACATCTAGCTAACAAATCATGTCTATCTCTGAAATCCACAAGCATAGTTGCTGTCAAACCTAAAAAACATATTCAGGGAGGTCAGTTTTGACTTGCCAAGCACCTTAAGGTGAGTTTATTTTTAAACTGTCAAAAGCGATTGTCCATTCAATACTAGCATATGGCTGGAAGCTGTTTCTCGGACTGTTATGAGTTATGATGTATTTTATGATATTACTGGGGAATGTTCAAATTAGTTACTGACATTTAATCCAACGTTCTAACTGTCAACTGTCTCAACAGGACCATAGGTTTGGTTATATATCTCCTCCCTGTTTCTATGTCTTAAGTTGTTAATCGGTAACTGCGGTCCAAATGTATCAACTTATTCATCTATTGTTGCAAACTTGACTGATTTAAACATATCTAATTGATCATGAACTACTCAGTCAGTCAAGCACCTGTATCAGAAATGTAAAACCAGCCATGTTTCATGTAGTCCCAATATCACTGAAAAATGCCGATGAAACGTGACATATAAATTTACTCACAGACAATATATTTTTCGTGAGAGTGAAGCACAATTTTATTAAAGTTTTATTAACAATTTCATAAACTATAATAATATTAATATTAAAATTCATCATCACTTGCCAAGTTTATGAACATGTCCCAATTTGGGAGATGTCACATATAAACAAGGATTCGAACTAAGTTTGATCGTCTTTGACACTGAGGTTTATCCCCACTTTGCCAGCAAACTGCAGAAGATTAACAGTGAGTGAGCATCGTTTCTATGTTTATACAAGAAAAGATGTTATGCCAAAAACGCTCACAGTAGTTAGTGAGTAAAATCACGACCTGTCATGACCTGGTTGAGTGACTTCCTCCAATCAACGTGAAAGGATTACCCACAGAGAAAGAAAGGATTAAAGTCACCCATAAATCTTATCCTAACGTAGTACTCCAACTTCTAAATGCCTCTCAAAGAAGGATTAAAATCCTAAATATATCCTATCTACGTGGTATAGGTACTCACAACCTCTAATAATAAACTGTTACGTTTGGTATCCCCAACAATACTCACTATGGTCATTGGGCAAATGTAAAAATCACAAACCCTAACAAGATTCTGTCTACATGGTCACACCCGGTGATTGTGAAGATCTCAAATTCTATCAACAGTCAGACAGCATGGCTGTTCATATTCATTTACAACATCCTCTTATAATTAGTATAAAAGTGTCCCACACAAAACCTTCTTTTATTTATTCTTTCAAAATACAAAACAGAAAGTGGGGTGTGGGGAAATGGGACATATTCCTACGTGAAATAATGATACATTAGTAGTGGTGACGGCTATATCATAATTGTACTGTCTAAAGCATAAATTTGGCGAACGAAAAACGTTATATTTGCAATCAAATGGAATGACTCGTGTGGGCAAATGAATATGTTCGCAATCCACAAACAATCATTTTATTAATGGCGAACATTTACCAACCCGCGACAATCGTGTCAACACGGGGGTTCCCCTAGCAATAAACTCGCAACTAAATTCACTACTGTTCTACTGTCGGCTAGCCACAATGGCTAGACGGGACCCTAGTGGAATGGTTCATGCCATAAAAGTCTGACAACCGAACACTAATTAAGACGGGCCGACCTTGTATTTACGGTCTGGTGAACACAGCTCAATGGCCGCTCATTAACTCAAATTTCACATCTCACTGTTTTGTTTTATCTCACTATTCATTTGATAATTTTGTCAACTTCAACTGGAACCCGGTCCCGGGTTGCACACGCGCTGCACACCCGTTGCACACCCGTGTGCAACGGGTGCTCACCCCGTGTGCAACCCGTTGAGCACCCGTGTCACATGCGTGTTACACGCGTTCTGAACGCGTGTTAGGGGAATGAACTTTTAGGCAGTAGTGTATAAGGGGAAGGGGTTATGTTACTATGCACTTGCCTCCATGTGCTCATATGCAATCAGTGATAAAACATGGACAAAGTCATTGCGTTTCCATGTACATCGTTCATTGAACAAAACCATAATTTGATACGGTATTTTCTTACAATAGCCTTACTTTGAAAACTCTGTCTTTCGGGTGAGAATTAAATGCATGTGTATACTACTTTCTACCATTGAATTGTAACACATTTGGCACTCCAATTGGGAGTAATTTAAGAGCAATTAGTATTCAAATCCATTAAATATATTAAAATGTATGTCTGTACAAAACATAGCTCAGGACCGAAAAAGATCAGTCAGTCAAGAGAGCACTGTGAGTATCACATTGTAGTTGTTATAATATATCAGGGCATGAAATCAAGTCTGACTAGCTTTTATTCTGTGGAATGAACTTTCGTCCAATTAACAGTAACAACGCAGATACATCAAACATGCACGTTTTCATGAAAGTAATATGTGACACCATAGCTAAGAGGTTTGTGTTCTTTCCACAAAAGAGTGAGTTTAGTTTTTTGGTTCATACACGGGTGCTTTCTTAGGAAGTCTGTTTATCAACACAAGTTTCATCACACCATTATCAGCATTCAATACCAATATACCATGAAAACCAGCCCTGTTATATACCCACAATTCTACCCTCTATTTCGTAAACCACACACCAGTTTGATCATGCATATAGTTGTCTTTCCCTTTCCAACCCGTTGAAGACACACTCAAAATTATACCAAAACACATACTCTACACAAACATGGATCATTTATGGGTGTAAGAAGGACATCGTGGGATTTGCTGAGATTGTGGACTACAAAGCGTGCAAAATACAATCACATACATTGGAAGTATGAATGAATGGATTTCATAAATACTCGGTATATATTCCAGATGAAAACCCACTGGAAGTAGATTCGGTATTTTAAGTCGAATGCGTTAATGGCATAAGATTCATATTTGTCATTTCTTTACGTACTTGAAACACTACTTTCAAAGTTGGTTTTGCAGTCGGATTTATCTATGAAATCTACCTCGTGCATTTGCGCTTCCCAGACAGGGAGAATATTGTATATTAGGGCGACGACTTTGGACCATTATCATAAACACCAAGCAAACCTCTGGTTATCTTTCATAATTTAGGTTATGTATGAGGGATAACCAAACAAAGACGGACACCATGAGTCAAACACTTTCAACAGATTCATATCGTCAACATTGTGTTGCATGTTTGGCTTCAGGATAAAGAATAAAAGGAGTAAATGGCATTTCTTACCAAAGGATGACTACACTTTCAAACATATCCAAGTCATTCGCACATCATTTTTCACTTTTACACTATCCTACATGGTCCCTTAGAGTGATAAAGATGTTACGTGTGAATCAAATAATACCATATGCTATTATAACAGCAGTAACAAGGAGGAGATGCAGGTATAAGGGGAAGGGGTTATGTTACTATGCACTTGCCTCCATGTGCTCATATGCATTCAGTGATAAAACATGGACAAAGTCATTGCGTTTCCATGTACATCGTTCATTGAACAAAACCATAATTTGATACGGTATTTTCTTACAATAGCCTTACTTTGAAAACTCTATCTTTCGGGTGAGAATTAAATGCATGTGTATACTACTTTCTACCATTGAATTGTAACACATTTGGCACTCCAATTGGGAGTAATTTAAGAGCAATTAGTATTCAAATCCATTAAATATATTAAAATGTATGTCTGTACAAAACATAGCTCAGGACCGAAAAAGATCAGTCAGTCAAGAGAGCACTGTGAGTATCACATTGTAGTTGTTATAATATATCAGGGCATGAAATCAAGTCTGACTAGCTTTTATTCTGTGGAATGAACTTTCGTCCAATTAACAGTAACAACGCAGATACATCAAACATGCACGTTTTCATGAAAGTAATATGTGACACCATAGCTAAGAGGTTTGTGTTCTTTCCACAAAAGAGTGAGTTTAGTTTTTTGGTTCATACACGGGTGCTTTCTTAGGAAGTCTGTTTATCAACACAAGTTTCATCACACCATTATCAGCATTCAATACCAATATACCATGAAAACCAGCCCTGTTATATACACACAATTCTACCCTCTATTTCGTAAACCACACACCAGTTTGATCATGCATATAGTTGTCTTTCCCTTTCCAACCCGTTGAAGACACACTCAAAATTATACCAAAACACATACTCTACACAAACATGGATCATTTATGGGTGTAAGAAGGACATCGTGGGATTTGCTGAGATTGTGGACTACAAAGCGTGCAAAATACAATCACATACATTGGAAGTATGAATGAATGGATTTCATAAATACTCGGTATATATTCCAGATGAAAACCCACTGGAAGTAGATTCGGTATTTTAAGTCGAATGCGTTAATGGCATAAGATTCATATTTGTCATTTCTTTACGTACTTGAAACACTACTTTCAAAGTTGGTTTTGCAGTCGGATTTATCTATGAAATCTACCTCGTGCATTTGCGCTTCCCAGACAGGGAGAATATTGTATATTAGGGCGACGACTTTGGACCATTATCATAAACACCAAGCAAACCTCTGGTTATCTTTCATAATTTAGGTTATGTATGAGGGATAACCAAACAAAGACGGACACCATGAGTCAAACACTTTCAACAGATTCATATCGTCAACATTGTGTTGCATGTTTGGCTTCAGGATAAAGAATAAAAGGAGTAAATGGCATTTCTTACCAAAGGATGACTACACTTTCAAACATATCCAAGTCATTCGCACATCATTTTTCACTTTTACACTATCCTACATGGTCCCTTAGAGTGATAAAGATGTTACGTGTGAATCAAATTAGACCATATGCTATTATAACAGCAGTAACAAGGAGGAGATGCAGGTATAGGGGAAGGGGTTATGTTACTATGCACTTGCCTCCATGTGCTCATATGCAATCAGTGACAAAACATGGTCAAAGTCATTGCGTTTCCATGTATATCGTTCATTGAACAAAACCATAATTTGATACGGTATTTTCTTACAATAGCTTTACTTTGAAAACTCTATCTTTCGGTAGGGAATTAAATGCATGTGTATACTACTTTCTACCATTGAATTGTAACACATTTGTCACTCCAATTCAGTCAAGAGAGCATTGTGAGTATCACATCGTAGTTGTTCTAATACATCAGGGCATGAAATCAAGTCTGATTAACTTTTACTCTGTGAAATGAACTCTGTGGAATGAACTTTCGTACTCTACATACACATTGTTCATTTATGGGTGTAAGACTGAATTGCGGGGTTTGGGTCAGATTGTAGCCATCAAAGCGTGAAAAATACAAGAATATACATTGGAATTATGAATAAATGGTTTTCTTTTATTTTAAATACCAGTTGAAAACACATTGTCGGCATTATAAGTCGATTGTGTCAACGTTAATAGCATAAGATTATATTTGCCATTTCTCTAAGTGGCTGAAACAAGCATTTCAAAGTTGGTTTTGCTCTCAGATTTATTCTATGAAATCGACATCGGGCATTTGCGCTCAATGCATGCGCAAATCAGTTTTTCACTTTTACACTATCCTATTTGGCCATTAGTAGAGATACACATGTAACGTGGAAATTCTATTAAAAGAAGTGCTACTATAACAGCAATAACAAGGAGATGAAGGTACAATTATAAGGGGAAGTGGTAGTATTACTATGAACTTCCTTTCAATATACCTTTGCATTCAGTGATAAAACATTTCAAAGTCATTGCTTTTCCATGTACCAGGGACATGTTCATTGAACAAAACCATAATTTGAAACGGTAGTTTGTTGGATTAGCGTTAGTTTGAAAACTCTATATTTTGGGTTGGAATTGAATACACCTTTCTCATACTTTCTACAATTGAATTAGGACACATTTGTCACTACAATTCGGATTAAATTAAGAGTATTAGTATTCAAGTCCATTAAATATACTTGAAATGTATGTGTGTTCAAGGGATATCTCAGGGCCAGAAAAAGATCAGTCAAGAGAATATTGTGACAATCACATTGGAGTTGTTCGTTCTAATATATCACGGTATATCATGTATGAATAGCTTTTCTTCTATGTATTGGAGTTTCGTCAAATAAACAGCAGCAACATAAATACATCAAACATGCACATTTTCAAGATAGTAATGTGATATCATAGTTAAGACGCTGGTGTTGTTTCCACAAAAGAGTGAGTTAGTTAGTTGCATTTTAAATGTGTGCTTTCTTAAGAAGTGTGGTTATCAACAAATGTTACATCACACCATTATCAGCACTCCCCAAGATTACCATGAAAGCCAACCCTGTTATAAACACACAATTCTACCCTGTAGTTCGCAAACGACGTACTAGTTTGAATGCAAATAATTGTCTTCAACTTTCCAAACCATACAAGACATGCACAAGATTATATCAAAACGCAAGACTCTACATATACATGGATAATTTTTTTAGTATAAGACGGAGATTGTATTGTTTTGATCAGATTATTGAGGACAAAGCGAGCTTAATACAAGCCTATACATTCAGAGGATGAATGTACAATAACAGCAGTAACAAGAAGTGAGTGAGTATTTATTAACGCCGCTTTTAGCAATATTCCAGCAATATCACGGCGGAGGACACCAGAAATGGGCTTCACACATTATACCCATGTCGGGAATCGAACCGGGTCTTCGGCGTGACGAGCGAACGCTTTAACCACTAGGCTACCCGACCGCCCCCAGGAACAAGGAGATTTAGGTACGTCCGACACCTGCTCTTTTAGACAATAACTTGATACAGTATTTTGTTAGTTTTAGTTTCATAGCTCTATATTTCGGGTGTGTATGTGCATCTTACTTTCTAGAGTGAATTATGAGTTATCTGTCAGAACAGAGCAATAAATAGGCAAGTAGCTTAAATATGCTTAAAATGTATGTCTGTGCAAAGGATAGCTCAAGGCCGCAAAAGATCAGTCAAGAGAGGATTGTATCACATTGTAGTTCTTATACATTAGGGCACGGCATCATGTCAAAATAGCTTTTCCTCCATTGGTGGATTTTCGTAAATAAACAGTAAACACGAAAAACATCAAACATACACATTTTCACAGGCGGTGATCTATGACCATAGCCGAGAGATTGGTGTTATTTCTTCATGTACATGTCAAGTGTGTTTAGTTTTATGTCTTATAAATATGTGCTTACTCAGAAAGTGCATCATACCATTCCTTAATGTTATCACGAAAACATGTTAAATATACGCAATTCTACCCTTTATTTCGCAAACTACTTACTACTTTGAACTTGCAACTAATTGTCAGCCATTTCCCACTGATTAAAGACAAAACAAAAACCATACTAACACACAGACAAACAGGTAGTTCTGATATTGTTCATTACAAATATAGCCATTATGTGCAAAGCCAAAGTCTAGATATTACCGGCTTGAAATGTAAACTATCGAGACGGATATTGTCACATTACTATACAATGCTTTGATAAGCAACAGCAACTTTTGGATTTTCTTGAAAATACAGGACTCAAAGCTCTGTTAAATATTTCATTATTCATGTTATATATGCGAGATAAGCAAATAAACACGGACATCAAGAGAAATTTTTTTTAACAGATTGATATCGTATGCAAGTACATTAGTTCTGCTGTCTTTCTACCTAAAAAATGTATGCCCCGTCTACCGATAAGACAGTGTATGCAACGTAAACAATACAAGTCCTGTACAGTTGTAAAGCTATTGCAAGCTGCCATGGGTATACAATGAGTAGAAGCTGTCGGAAGCTAGTATGAGTTTTCAATGAGTAGAAATCGCAACATGATAAACCATCAACTTTCGAACACATCTATTAAAGACGCATTGGTATTCATTCAAATATTGCTGTATGAACCTTGTCGGCCGCAAGCTGGGACTAATCTGAAATTGTAACATGAAATTGTTTTAAGTCAAGAAATGTTTGAACATGTAGGTAGGACATGGCAAGCTCCATTCCTGATTGTTTACAAGGATTAGCGCGAGATGGTTTGTATGATTCGTTCCCTTCCGTCTTGTTTGAACTCTTTATATTATATACTAGTATATGTTCATGCGACAATAATACAAATTCCCATTAGTCATTGACCTCCTTGTTAACTACATGTATGTTGCGGGATTACAAATTGTGATGGATACAATTATGCCCTCATGTATAACCAGATGATACTGCGAAACTGCTGCAGCGTGTACATGGCTTCTGTCCGAAAACTATGGGATGAGCTACACAGCTACTGTCGTTTAAGGGTAAACGTTGCGGAAAGATAACACGGTCTATTCACATGGACTACTAGTTAAGATCCTGGGTTCGACAAAACTTGGTCCACGGTACATTTGTGATAAACTATGGCGACCCCAAATCCCCTCCTTTCGCTAATGTTTCAATGTCTCATACCCAAACACCCCAAATAAATAAAAATAAATGACCAGTCCATCTGCCATTTGACAACTGACATACAGATACCAACGGGTTTTAACGTCCATAATTAGACTTCAGACAGTTGTTTGAATGGTAACATGTTATGAGTAAGCTTGTAACGTGCAAGTCGAACTGCCACTGCGGGAAAGAAGGCATGTGTTTATGTGCGCTGCGCATATAATGTTGACACGTGGTACATGCATGGCTCTTGTCGGGCTGTTATGCTGTCATGGACACCTGCGTGACCCATCTGCATAATGATATCATATATCTGAGAGCACGTGAGTAAATCATCCAGTACGTGACCCAGGCGCATACAGCGAGAGAGTAAATCAATGGGTTCCAGTACGTGAACCAGCTGCTGTTCAGCGGAAAGGACATTAATTCACAAATTGTTCGATACCAAGCTAAATAGAAGTGTAACCATACGATGAACGAACGCGTTTGAGTCAAGAACGAATGCGTGTAGTGTGAAAGAAACCAAGAACATGTACAAGAGCGTTGGTCGATGACAGGTGGAGTGTGTTGTCTATATCTTCAGAGTGGCCTTGAACCTTACCACACTCTAGAGGAGTGCAGGGGTATCTACCTTGACTGATCACTGCCGTGTGTACGTGATGACAGAAACATTAGTCCGGTAGATGTCCTTCAGGTGGAAATAAAAATCAATTTTATCATGACCAATATTATTAGAAATAACATTATCATTATGTTATATTTTCATTGATATAATCATTTACGTTATCTCGTAGAAAATAAATTAAAGTTATGAAACTGTTGATTTATGAACATGTGTGGTACATAATTCGTAGGATATAGAGGATCTGTACCATGGCAATACAATTACTTGTGTTGAACACATAAGACCAACTGTGCACTATACTACTTTTGTATAGTATCACCTTACCAATAACCAATTTTATTGACACGATATGTCGACGTGAACTAGATCGGCTGAAGGTGCATATTCAACTCTATAGCCTAGATGACTTCAATATCATAGCTCATCGGGGCTTGCACTGTGTAAACTGCTGCTTTCTCTAAGGTATTAGCGTCTATAGTTAGCATGACGTGGCGAGGACATGGGGGCTGTAACAGAAGTAAAACCCACATAATACACGTCATTTGACACAATACCTGTTGCAATAGATAAAACATACATATGCTAACGTGCAAATGTGCCCATGGCACAGACATGTGAATAACAAAAGCTGTCACCTGAGAAACAGTTACCTTCGTCCTGATAGGGCTATCAACTGATAACATTGATCAGTTCGGAGTGACAACATAGACAAATGTAAAAGACAAAATAGCCTCTGAAACTGCCACGAAGTGTGGTCTCCACACTGAACACAATTAATATGACAGATAATGTCGTTGTGTAATAACCTAAACTACGAAATGAACAATAAACATATTGCCTCTGAAACATATATTGATAACATTCTGATGAAATGACATCGAAACATAATCATCATATGACAAAAACATCTATTTGGAAACTATTCAAAATCCAAAACAAATCTACCAGATAACGCACAGGTTAATTCTTCTCTCGATTTCAAAACACTGGTTTTCAGGTGACCTACTTTGTCGATAAAATTCTTTAAATTCTTTATATCCAATGAGACTGTACTATAAGTCTACTTCCGTGGCTAAAAATCCTCGAGTCAACAAACACCATTGTTGAAGTGGCTAATTCCCAAAATGAATTGTTAACAAATTGTCTTATAGCAAATGATAATGGAAATGTGTGTGAATGAAGAAGGTGTATCAGCTTACCTTGTTGTCGCCAACGCCGTGTCTGCATCGCGAGAGAGAGGAGAGCGGGACAGGCCGCCTCCCCCTCCTCCTCCTCGGCTCACCATGCAACGTGTGGGCACTGCCACCTGCTTATATACAGCCCCCACTGTGAACGTCCTGACTACGTGGCGGGGCTTGCCCAATCGCAATGCTACGTAAACACTACGTTGTTAAGCTGAAGTCAATGTCTAAAATTAGCCTGGAAAAAATCCATTCATAGAATGCTACGTTTTGGCGACGGTGTTGTAGTTAAAATCCCACAAATATTGAATTTGTTTACACACTGAGAAATGTTGTAAATTGCGATTTTCATAATAAAACCGAGAAGCATTTGTCACCATGTATTGTCAGACATCCTACCGTATGAAGTATGTTATCGGAGGTAAAACACAATTGCAATGCGCCAAAACGCAACCAAACACAACACGTTCTCATGCCGATGACTGTGGGGTTATTTCTTGTTGTTACAACGGCGTAAATATTGTCTGCAGTTGATGAGTATATGGTCTGTTTAGGGACTGGTCGCTGATTATAGGGGAGCAGGGAGGCGAGATTGGAGGGCATGAATTGTGACAGTTCTATTTTTTTCAATTAATAAAATTATAAATTTGTATATTATTTAGAAACTGCTCAATTATTTTAGGAGGGGGTCATCAAAACATGTTACTTGTATTTGGGGAGGAGGGGTGGGGGCAAAATATCCTACAATCCTGAGGCCATTACGAGGAGAACGATATATGATCTCCACGTCACAGCACACATTCATCCTACACAATGGACCTGGTTTGCGAGGAGATCATGGGGGATTAAAGGTTGCATAATGGCCGGGGAAATCGACACCGACATATGCTCTGACATGGACTTCGACCTCACAATAGTCAAACCAAATACAGTAGCCATGGTAACATCACTTCAATTGGATCTACTCATAACATAGGCAGTTCTAGTAATTTATACGGGATAAACAGATTTGTCATTGCAATGTGAGTACTTAAATACACAACCTCTAATCACAAATTTACCAATAGAGACTGGCAGAAGGCGTGGTCTGCCCCTTGAGAGCTGAAGATGAATCATCCATCTGTTTAAATGTCCATATAATTAGCTGTCTTTACTTGGCAAAGCGTATTTAAATTTTAACCATTTATGCCCTACGTCCTAAATTTATGTCGATTATTCCCAGTACTGTTAACAAAATCAATGTTATATATCATACCAGTATCTATGCGTCTGTCCACCACCTGTAAACAACTGTAAATTTTCTGTAGCATATGCTGTTGTAGCAAGGTGGGTGGTTTCGAGAATACATCGGCTTGACTCATACAGTACAACAGCATATATGACGTGACCGGGTCAACCCTCGCAAATACTGGACAGGCAACAAATCTCTGTCCAGGTCACGGAAAGGTGACCTGTTGCAGTGGAAGGAAGGGCATCTGCACCCATAATACATACAAATTCTATAACATCTCGTGTCAGTGGCTATATTCTATTGTGCAGTAGATGGGGTTACTGTCAAGACGGATCATTGCCGGGCACCATAGTTCAACCAGGAAACCACGGAAAAACCGCAGTTTTCGATTTCATCAACTTACTACCGGGTTGGAGAAGTATGTGACAGTTCATCAGTATTCTTAGCTGTGCGTTCATTGAAAGTGGGATATATACACCGCCTTGTGTTCATTAGGTGTAGCAATGTCAGATATATATAAGTCACGTGTATGTTCGTATTACCCGGATTAAACGGGGTGTTCTTGCATTCTTTCTGTTTGATACTGTGACCTTCTCGAATAGGCGTATCCTGTTTTGTGGATTTGTTCAATTCTGGCGTATTTAGTGAAACTTAATTTTACTCCCGAAGCCTGCGTACACAATGTCAAGAATAACTGTGAATGAACACCTGGATCACACTATCGTGAGGGATATACCATACCAAAACTACCACAAACATCAAGATAAATACTGTCTTGATCTGTTTCTGCCCCGTACTTTCTTCTGTCCCAGTAAAGACCAGATCCAAAAGATTTTTTCTACAGGATACCCAATTCACCATAGACAGGGTGTCACCAACGATTCTTGTTCTCTACCGGAACCAACATCACCGTTGTGTCACGGCCAGGTAGCACCTACGTTTAGTGATGGCAAAGCCTGGCCCCGTCCCCCGCCAGTGGTTCTGTTTGTGCATGGTGGTGGATGGCAGAGGGGATGCCGCCGTGCCTGGACTTACTTTGGGGGCAGCATCAACCTTCTGTTGTGTTTCACCACGTGGTTCTTCGGTCTTTACCACAATGTTGGGGCGAGTCTGGCGTGTCGCGGGGTGGCCTGTGCAGTCATCTCCTACCCACTGACCCGTCCCGCGATGCCCTGGGTTATACTAGACGTCATCGTGTCGTACACTGGCAGTGCAATCTTTTCTTTCATAGTGTACCAACTGATATCCACATCTTGCTTTATTAGTCACGAGATATACTCATTCCTCATGCAATGCGAAAATGTCTTGATGTTTGACGCTGAGTGTTTGGAAAGAACAAACTGTGTATTCAACGTGCCCCTGTCATCTGTGTTCATTTTCACCAATTATTTGACCTTATTAGCAATGTTAATATGCAGTTGTAACAACCCTTTAAAAGACATACCTCCACTAGGAGCACGCTTGCTCTGGACTACAGTCTGTTTCCTTCTTGCACACCTGTCTTCCGCGGTGGGCAGTGAAACTGCTGTCTACACATATCTTTGTACTTTGTTGTTATGCGTCAGTATCCAGCTTCACAGTGCCAGGCAGTGGCAGTCTGTCTCCAACTCGCAGCAGATCCGAGCTATAACTACAGCCATGAAATGGATCAAAAACTGTAGTGAACGGACGTCGTACTTCGACTCAACATCGTTATTTCTGATGGGCCACTCAGCGGGTGGTCAACTGGTTTCTCAACTAGCCCTTGACAAACACCAGCTTGATGACGGCGGATGCTCGTCTCATGACATCAAGGTAATACTACAACACAATACAGGTAGCCATACTCCTGAAAATTCCGAAAATAAACAATGAAATCATTGGTAAAATGAACATTTAACATGTTTAATTTAATCACGGACGTATATACAATCTTTGCTTTAATATGAAGTTAATAATAACGCAAAAACACGTACGTATGTTTTGGCATTGTAAATCGCATAAATATCGGGTGAAAACTTTGTCCTTGCAGGGCGTAGTCTCCATCTCTGGAGTGTACGACTTACAGAAGCTATCATCTCCAGTCTTGAGGCGCCTCTATCTCCACCCCGCCTTTGGTCCTCACCCGGACAACTGGCTCCAGGCGTCGCCGCTTACTCTCATCTCACAACCAATCGACGGAAGGAGTTGTCCCCCCTTTCTGCTGCTGACTGCACAGATTGACGGGCATTTGAATAATGATGCCGACGAGTTCTATAAGAAGCTTAAATTGAGGAATGTTACCGTCATGAAGTATATTATTCCATCAACTATGCATTTAACCATTATGGCTTGTTTCTCAGTGTTTCAATCGTCTGTTTGTCAAAGATGTGTTGATTTCATCAAGGATAACGCCTCATAGAGACCTATTTCATTTAGAGCGGACCTCTTCTGTGTGAACAACTGAATCCGTGTGTATACTCCGATTAGAAACATGTTCATGAAACGAGCATATCAATCAGTGGCAGTATGTAACAGTAATCACTTTACTGTTATACCAGTATTTTCTACACACTGCCAGGGTACCTTGTTTCATTACGTCAAGTGAAACTGATCGGCCATTTCTATCAGGCGGTTATTGTAATTTCATACCTCTGACCAATCTGAATCGAGTAATTTCCAAGCTCATTGTAAATATTCATTTGATTAGCCTATTATTTTCACCCCTTCTGTCTGATAAGTTTAAATAAAGGTTCTAAAAAGCTACAAATTTGGAACATAATACCACTGTGGAAAATGACATCAAACGTTTGGGGGTTTCTTTTATTGAAATTAAAATCCAACTCTCAATGAGATTTTATGCAAAACTTTGTTGAATGGAGTTGAATCTTGAGATGCACCTTATCAATTATGCCTGAGGTGTGTTGGTATCACAGGTTGACATATATGGTCTGTATGGGAATATGTTACTCAGCACACTTATGTTCTCTCACTGCCTTGATGTTCACAGAAGTTATTGTATCTTGTCAATGTCTGGAAATAAATTCTGACATTTGGAGTTTCTATTCAAAATCATTGATAATTGAATTTGTTTGTTTGTTTGTTGTTTAACACAGCACTCGACGATATTCCAGCTATATGACAGTTTTCTGTAAATAATGGAGTCTGAACCAGACAATCCAGGGATTGATATCATGTGCCTTGATCCACACAATTTGGATACGATGACATGCATCCCATTGGTCGCCTCTTACGGCAAGCATAGTCGCCTGTTACGGCAAGCATGGGTTGCTGAAGACCTATTCTACCCTGGATCTTCACTGGTCTTGATACTAGTAATTGAAAAGGACTCATGAACACCAGAGTTCATTAACATACCTTATGTTCTATTATGAAATGAACTAAACAATTCAGACGTCATTGAAGTTTATCTGAAACACAAAATTGCTTCCAAGGAAGCATCCATTTGGGTGGAGTTTTTAGGACAAATTAGTTTGTTTCTAGCTATATTAAACACACTATTTATTTACTGAGCTACAGAAAACAAGTTATTCATTTTACTATTAACACAAATCTCTTGGGGTATTTTCAATCAAAGAATCTATTCATCTTTATCACCACTGCCATCAAACTATTCAGTTTGGGCATGTTTCTGAACAAACTATTCAGTTTGGGCATGTTTCTGAACAAACTATTCAGTTTGGGCATGTTTCTGAACAATCTATTCAGTAACTTTTAAAAGCATAGTCTGGAATGGAAGTCGCAACTTTGAAACTGGTACCCAAAGCTTAAGAAAGCTGCTTTCTAAGTGGCTAACGTCGACTTCCTGTTGGCCATTTCATTGGTAGGTAATAGTTCGCAAAAGGTTGTTCTGACGTGACCTGTAATGGGATGTCCTCATCGATAGCGAAAACTTGTATCTGATTTTAATAAGATTGAGGTAATCTAAGCATGTGATTTATCCTGTTTTCTTTATTTAAAGCTTTAATTGTTTATTGTTAAGCAAGTTTATCTCTGCAGCCGTTGTTATATGCAGCTACCAGCCAATTCGTCTCGCATCAAAACACAGGCTGTGTACTCGCGGGCAGATGACCACGGAGTACGCTGATCACTGTGTCGGATTAACGAGACTGATTAATGAGTGATTTTGGTAATTTCGTTGCAAATTAGGTGTGTTTCGGAGTCGGAGTGCGAGACTGTCGGATTAACGGGTCTAAATAGCACTGATTTAATCCCTTCCCATCATTAGTGCCGGATAAAGCCAATTGGCGGATTAACAAGACTTGACTGTATTCAGTTTTGGCATGTTACTGAACAAACTATTTAGTTTGGGCATGTTTCTGAACAAACTATTCAGTTTGCGCATGTTACTGAACAAACTATTCAGTGTGGGCATGTTACTGAACAAACTATTCAGTTTGGGCGTATTTCTGAACAAACTATTCAGTTTGGGCATATTTCTGAACAAATTGTTCATTTGAAGAATCTTATAATATCTTGAATTAAATCTAAAAGTGGTGAAATGTAATTTTTCCTAAGTCCTTTAAAACCCATTTCCCATCCATATTTCTGTACTATGGGAAATTGTCGATTCTGACTCATATTAAACATAAAAACTATCTTCACTCACTATGACCAATATCTCTGGTTCTCAGGTGACGATATTGTATCCTGCTTCATTCATACTAACAGCCCTAAAGAGGAGACATAACAAAACACACATTATACAGTTCAAATGTTTATTTCATTATTTACATCTTATCACAATCTTTCCATTCTTCATCCCTGTGTTAGAGACTTAGTGAACTGTTGAGGAACTCGACCTTCCAGCTGTTCTGGTGAAATTGTAAAGATTCTACACAACTGTATACTGCCTCTGACTTTGCCATTTTATCAGCAATACAAGCAGCAATGGTATGACCAACTTGCATCTTCCAGCCTTGAAATACATTCAAGCTGATAATTTCAGTCCTCTTATTTTATAGTTGCATACCAGAATAACGTACTCACTGAATCAGAAACAGCCGTAATTTCTATCTTTGAAAGATGCATAAACCTCCAGCAATGTGGACCGATTACACTGGGCTTTGAGATGTCCCTAAGGTGAGTGCGTGAGTATGGTTTTACACCGCTTTTAGCAATATTCCAGCAACATCATGGCAGGGGACAACAGAAAGGGCTTCACACATTGTACTCATGTAGGGAACCAAAACTGGGTCTTCAGCGTGACAAGCGAACGCTTTAACCACTAGGCTACCCGACCGCCCAAGAAGTCCCAAAGGAACATGAGTTGGAGCTGTATTTACCAGTACACTCAATAGCTTCATAAACTACTGGTAGACATAAAACATCTGCTTATAATAAAACGTTACTGATTAAAAATTATCCAATGTGTAAAAGGAAATATATGTACATCTTAAATAAAATACTTATATTAAAAGAGGATATAAAATGTGATCTGTTAGCTTAAAATGAAGCACTATTGCCCTCCACCTTCCAAGCACACTCAAGCACACACACAGTTTCATCATTAACCAAGAGACACCTAGATAAAAGTTGTGTGTTAGATCCACCTCTACTACCGAGACAGGACTGCATCCAACACAGTACAGTACCAGGTTCCCCATTCAGTAGGCTGGGGTTTGACGCTATTCTGTTTATTACACACATATCAAAGTAAACTTCTAAATACACACGACACAGTCAATTATCCTACACCAAAAGAACATACAGACTACAAGTTGTTATAGAATATAATACTGTGAACAGCAAAACAGGCAGTCATATTTGAATGGAAAACAATGCCCAATCTGAGAGTTGTGTGGCTGCACAGGCAACATCCCACTGCATGAAGCAGGGCATGATCTTGTCTAGCAGACACACATTTGGAGTGAGTTTGTTTTAATGCCAACCAGTATTCCTATTATATGACAGCATTTCAGCTTTATGTGGGAGGAAAGCCTGTAAGTGATCTAGGTCTCCAATGTTTACCACTTTTGGGAAATCCACGAGCACAGGTATGGTGCTGACAAACCTAGAAACATAATTGGGGTGAACTGGGATTCGAACCCACAATCATAGGTTAATTCTGTACTATCAAAGCATACACAACTGAAGTTTGGATTCATTTACGTCACATCAGTTCTCCCTGAGCATACAAGAACACAGAATGTTATGTAGGTTTGGTGCTTCATCTTACATTCAGTTTAATGTTTGTTGGATCCAGAACTGCCTATGTGACGGATTCACAACATGACAAAATGCTGTGAAGTAATCTCTGGTCAGGGTAATTCATTAAACATTATTAAAAGCAAACGAGAATGTGAAGGTGACCTGTAGTTTTCTTCAACAAGTAGATATGCCCAAACTTGCTTACTGTGTTACCTTCTTTACATTTTAATTCATGTGTGCAACATGCCAGAGGAGACATGTCACAAAGGTAGTCATTTCATCACCTACATAGATGCTTGACAGTAACAAGACCTTCACACCAGGAACCCTGATATGTGACACAAGCATATCAGCTGGTTTAGAAGCTTACACAAAAAAAATTATTGTGTTATTCGTGTTAGTTTGTATAGTCTAATCCCATGAGACTAATAGTATCACACTGTAAATAATAGCTGCATCTTGAAATCAGGAACTCATGCTCCAATACCTCGTCTGCAGGTGGATCAGGAAGCCAGTGCTGACTGTAGTGCAGTAGAGCTGGCACCATAAACACTGGACCTAAACCTGAACCTGGGCCATAGGCTGGAGGTTTGGGGACACCTGTGCCAAACAAATGTAAAACATCATAACAACTATCATCACAAAATCTGTCTTTGATTACATCAGCACCTGTATGCTGACACATCCCAAGTCTTCTCCATACAGTACCATACTCTACATGGTGCATCCTCATAACCTTTAATGTTAATTAACAGATAAACCATTTCTGTGAGTCGCCTCTATGTACTGACCTTGAACTCAGCCCCTGTTATCTCCACAATGTCCTCTACGGTCACACCATCAGCTATCTCGATCAGCGTCAACCCTTCCTCGGGACTCACTGTGAACACTCCCTGTTGGCACAGCACAGTGGGAGTAGCATAGGTTCTTAGGAGTTGCAAATGTTTGGGATCATATCACAAAATTTCACCTCCATAGGTTGGGCCCTAGCAGGGTCAAATTCTAAATAGGGACCTACAAACATAGTTATGTTATTCCATAAAACAAATTTATTTAGACCTGAATTTTGTAACAAATTTTAGAGAAGTGTAGAAGACATACAGATGAAGGGATAACAGATAACAGAAAGCTTCCATAAGCCTTCAGTTAAGGAGAGCTAAACATGTTGTCAAACAATGGTCAATTGCCATATCAAGGTCTTAGCTTGTTAACAAAACATGCTAATGAGGCAGGGTTTGAAGATGTTCATTAACCAGCATGAGAGTGAAGTAAGCACTACCTTCTCTGTGATGATCATGTCCACACACTGCTTGCCAGTCAGCGGAAGGCTGCACTCAGACAGGATCTTGTGCTTCCCACCCTACAATACAAACAGCTGACCATCACACACTTCTCTTGTCACTGACTTTTTGTTTTGAGTGCACTAGTCAGAGGCACAACACAGAAAATAAGCACCATTTCAATTCTAATTTTAAGAAAGAGATGGAATTTGTGTTTCATGTGTGTAATAGCATATGTAGTAAAATAGCTTAAATGCTTGTAATACTGTAGATCTCAAAAGTAGATCTAGGTCATGTTTCCATGGAGTAAAATAGGGTGGAAAAACCAGAAAGTAAAAGTGGACAGATATGGATGAGTGGGTAAAGAGACACATTACCTTTGCAGCATGTTCCATTGTGACAATGACCTTTGTCTTGTGGCTGGACACCAGGTCCATGGCACCACCCATCCCCTTCACCATCTTCCCCTGCAACAAAAGATAGCAGTTTCAAACAAATGTAATCCAGACATTGCAGTTGGACTCGCTAGCATTACTGTGGAACTCACCGGAATCATCCAGTTTGCTAGATCCCCACATCTGGATACCTGCATTGCTCCCAAGATGGTCAAGCTTACATGGCCCCTGTAAAATCAGCAAACATGTGCAAAGTACCTTCATATACCTAAGACATCATCCTATTGTTTTGACCTTTACTTTAGCCATCTTCCAGAGGCAAGGGAGTTAAACTGTAAAAGTCCAGTTTCCACCCTTGCCAAACTAGGCTGAAATTTCTGGGTTTGATCGCCACCAGTGGCTATAGGAGTTATGTCCCTTCTTTGTCCCTCCTATTGACCAATCAGATTACACCTCTGATATCACTTGTGTAACAGGACAGACTTTGGGCACATTTAGACACCTAATATTTTCATGACTTTGGATTGTGATTCTTTTATCAAAGAGATATTGATGCCGAAAATACTAAAGAATGTGTCTACAGTCCCTCCGTCTGTCCTTTATGACCTCAGTTCGTTGGATGTAGGGAGGTGATTCACGATAAAATATAATCAAGTTTCAACAGTTTATTACAGAAAATAAACAAAAACAAAAACAACTGTAACAAAATATAAATATGAACTCAACAACAATTACAAATCAGTCAATCCTATTCCTAACTAAAATTTACATTATTAAGCCAAAAATCCTACTTACTTATACTTTAAGAATAAAACTCAGAAGCAGCCTAAAGCAGACGAACAAACCCCTAACTAACCCACTTTAATAAATAATCACTAAAGCATCCTTAACACAGTCTACGAGGACAAACAAACCACCCTTCCAAACCTCCTAACACAATCAGTCAATGTAGCTACATCACATAGCTTACATTATTTCCTAATTAAATCCACCCGTCCAACCCACCTTTATAACAGTTTACCCATGAATTTTAAAGTTGCCAAATAATTTAGATCTTTATTGCCAAAAATCACTAGGGATTGGGGAATTGTTTGACCTCCGAACAAGGTAATTTGGTGTGGTCTTCCTCACCTGTATTGATCTTCCTGATGAGAGCATTCGCGCTAATCACTTATATACTCGCAAGGACTCGTAACCTCTGGGTCAACACGTCTAAACGGTGCAGCCACTGGCTAATCCAGTCTGTCACCAACCAATCGGGGCGCTCTTACCATACGACCAACGACTGAAAACACTAAATCGGCATGCAGCCGACAAACGCACGTGCCTGCATGTGGGGCAAGATCTGAAACGTGCTGTCCCAAAGCGAACTACATATCGGCAAGGAGCTATTAACCACGTAAATGCTACCATCTATCCTACATAATCAGAGGAAATTTCAATATTTCTACACTTGCATTTGCTTCAAACAAAATTGTGGCACCCAGTGAAGACAATCTGATCGATAAGCAAGATCTATATTGTAACAAAACTTACTTCGCTAGGTGCATCAAATCACGGGAGCACCTTGATTAAAAACATGAAAAGATTTGGAAAATATCTGTTGACGCTAAGATGAAGTACACATGCTTTGCAAATCCTGCAATCAACCGAAATCTGCATGGCATTTTACAAACCGGATGTTAATCTCATTACATTATTTTGATTGGACTATGCATAGACCCGTTAGTCCAGCCAAAATATAACGCCATAATTCAAGCCTATTTCTGTAAGGGTGGAAACTGGACTTTTAAAGTCAGTTAACTCCCTTGCCTCAGGAAGATGAACTTTATCATTGAACGCATTTGATGATTCAAAGTCAAATAATAAATTTTAAAACTTATTCTACCTCATACTCTGCATATCTTCTTCTTTGATCCTCTGTGGAAACATGCTTGAACCATGTATCCAGCTTCTAAAACAAAAACATTCCCCGAACACACCCCAACATCTCTATGGTTACACCCAGCAGCTGGGTCAATTAAGTGCTCCGTGCACGGCAAGTTTGCTTGAGCTGGCAACATGTATACCTCTCCCAACTCATTCTCTTTCTCATCACCACTGTGTGTTGACCAGTTTGACTACTTAGAGAAGATATTCGTTTACTTTTTGCCAGGTCTCTGAAATTAACACAGCAACACCGTGGGCAAAAAGGACAGACAACATCCCGCATGTTAAGAATGCCGATGCACATACTCTAGGTCGGACCGTCACTCCTTGTGCTGTGATAGTCGCTGAAGTGCTCGCTGCACTAACCTTGTGCAGAATGACATTCTATGTCAGATTCTGCTTTCCAGATCTATCTCAAGCGGTGTCGTAGGAGATTGTTTGACCGTCACCAAGACAAAGAAATCATCTAAGAAACCTAAAGCCAGGCCCTCAGCTCCATCAGAAGAACCCGTACTGTCAGTCACAGATGATATTATTTCTGATAGTTTCCTGAAGGACGATATCTCCAACCCAGACCTTTCGAATGTTCAACAATCTCGAATTCAAGCAGATGTTCGCTCTGTTCTACTGGCCACTCCCGCTCCCATTCAAGCGACCGATAGCGCTCCCGCCTTTATGATACCACGCTGGGAATTTACACTTTCTGTTCCTACAGCTGATCGTGAGAAGGACAATAGCTCTACTGTTTGTCCTTCAACTACCACCCATCTCAGGATCCTAGGCACAGGACGACACTGGATCGACAATCAGATTCCAATGACAATGATCGGTGCTCCGGCTCGTATGAGCGCACCTTTGGTCTCTAGCCCTCTGAAAGCTCTACCTATGGCAGGGATCAGTCCTCCAGTCGGTTATCAACATGGCGCTTACAACTATGGGAACTAGCTGAGATTCGATACCTACGCGGATCGCAGGCTGGGATGGGACGCTTACCCGGTTTATTGAGACTCTTACTACCAGCAACCTGGATACCCATACCCAGTAGATTTCCCCAACTACCGCAATACTACTGGCTACGTTCACTCTCCACTTTGCCATCCTCCTATGGAACTTCCTTTGACAACAACCCTCTCTATGCCTAAGGATTGTAGTTTGTCACCACATGGGGAATGGGAACGTCGAAGCTTTCCCGAAGCTGCTCTCATTCAGGTCAGAGATCACCGGATTGCATTCCCAGCAGTTTGGCTCCTCCGGAACCTTGTTGACCTATCTTGAGCAATAGTTAGGATCACCACGATCAACAGCAGATTATGGAACCCTGGTTCAACTCCTGTGATTTCTACTCCAACGTTCGGGTATCTTGTCGACATCCCAGCCTACAGATTCAGCTCCACTTCCAAATACCTCCCGCTAGGCCCCTCCTGGGTCAGGTGGTTCGGTCTCTGCATCAGGCGACCCTACCCTACCGGATCCACCAGCAGACAGTTCACACCTGCCTGTTACCCACCCAACATCATTCGTTACCATCCACCATGGTCCACAGTTTTGAACACAGAAGACCCTGAATCAGTCCTTCCACTTACGAGTTATAGATACATCGTACAACTTCAGCAGTGGATCGACTCACAGTGTTCGCGGTACCATCAGCCAGCTCATCCAATATTACGCTCCCTCCAAGCCCAGTATTATTAGACATTAACTCAAACCTTGATACGGCCATTGCATCGTTCTGTGTCTACGACTCTAAGTGACTCTTCATCCTTGAGGATAGTGGCACTCATGGAATGTCAGCTGCAGTTACTTCCTCCACAGTTTGACAGCACTGTCACAGAAGTGCTCGGTTTCATCCTTCCTGGTTGAAGATAGTGACCTCGCACACATGGATGCCATGGTACTCCGTACACTACTCCTCGTGTTTACCAATCTGTCAGCAACAGATTTGCTCTCTGCTTCTCTCTCCACTCACACACAAGGACGCCTTCATTCAAGGAGTGGTAACAAACTCACACAGATCCTGTACCTTCTCTCTCACCATTCTGGTTCCATGATAGCTCTTCGTTGCCATTGTGTTCTACAACATTGTACGTGGGACGATCAGTTCAAGGCTAAACTTGACAATCATGGTCTTCCCACATCCCGTTTCGATTGTGATAAGATAACATGATCTTCAAGAATTTCTATCTTCCTGTCCTAATCCCTTTGGAGGACGCGGAAGAGGACGAAGGAGATGTTAGATACCCTCCGCAGGACGATCCATCTCTTCTACCAGACCCAAGGGATCTGGTGAACCTTCCTGAAAGGGAGGTTCGGCAGGAAACTGACTCCTTTCCATTATGGCACGACTGGAACCTTCCAACCCCAGCTGTTCACATTAGAGACACAAGCCCGTAACGCGGAAGACTGGGGCTATTTGCAGGTAACAGGAGCATCCTGGCCGACTCAGTTACGACAGCAAGGATAGTGACTACCACTGACCTCTTCACCACCTACGACGTTCCAGCCCCTACCAACGCTCATCGACACTATAGGTACGTTACTAGGAAATAATGTAATCGAATGTCTCAGCCACTTCCTACCAACCCAGGGTTTTATTCACCCATTTTCCTTGTCCCTAGGACAGTCTTATAATCCAGCTCATTTTCAACATGAAGGTATTCAACGTGACTTACTTTCCCGCATTAGTTTCGCCGCATTTTTGCATGACATCATTCTCACTTCAGAGCATGCTCATTCATCCCAGCAATTTTATGGTTAGTCTTGATCTAAAAGAAACTTATCTGCATGTTCCCATTCACTGGGAGCACCATCACTTCCTATGGTTTGTTTTTCAAGGCGGCCACAACCCATGGAAGGTTTCTATCACTTTTAACTTTTTCAGCAGGTGACTATTCACCTGCCTTATTTGGCCCATCACGAAAATTCCTATATCTTTGTGGGATCGTGTTCAAATCTTATCTCAACGACTGCATTCAAGTTCACACAGATGCCGATATCCTCTGTCAACAACGCAACTTCATACTTTGTCTTCTCATGCAACTTGGTTGACTGATCAACCCACCCAGTTCATAGAGGCTCTATTCGACACTCAGAAAGGCATGATGTTTGTGCCACACGACCGGAGGGTAAAGATTCAATGATTTGTTCTGTTGGCACTTAAACAACCGCTAAGCCTCCGCCCATGGCAACAACTCCTGGGTTTCCTAACCGACACAGGCTCTCACTGTACTGTTCAACTGCATCTGCGACCACTTCAGTACTTCTATCTACACCTTCACCTGGTGGCTTGTCGCATAGAACGTTTGCAGCTGAGCGTCTTCAAGGCCACTCATCCCGTCCCTCCATCTGTTCATTGACGCTTCAACCATAGGTTGGGGAGCACTCTTTCGAGGTCTGCAAGTTGCGGGACAGTGGTCCGATGACGATCGTTGCCTCTGCATCAATAATCTCGAATTCAAGGCGGTAAGTCTAGAGGTCTCACATTGGTCAAAGCTTATACCCTCCTCTTCCCTCATGATCCAGTTAGACAACACTGAGGTGTGGTACATCAACAGAATGTGGTCCACAAAATCAATGTCCCTCCTCTCGCTCAATCTCAAGTTCTTACAACTCATTAACTCCCTCAACATCCACGTCTGGGCTCGGCATATTCCAGAGGTCTCTGACATCATAGCAGACTAGGGTTGCAACGATATAGGAATGTCACGATACGCTATGTATCTCGATATTCTTGTCAAGATAAGATACGATACGTATCTCAGTATTCTGGTCATGATACGATACGTATCTCGATACACAACAAATATAAAAAAACAGAAACAGATAACAGTAATTCAACTTTAAATAAGTTTCATGACTTCAAGCACGTCAAGATTGGACCTTTCATGATTTTGGAACAGTCAAAATTCTTTTTTATAACTAGACTACTAAAGCTTCAAGTGGAACTTTCTCTAACTTTCCTTCAGAACACATCAAATATCAAAACAGCAGAAAACTTCAGAAGGTCAAACACAAGAAAATAATAAATGTACTTCACAGTCTGAATAGAACAACTTTAGCTTCTTTGACAGAAATTAAAATGTCAACCTTGTCAGGGGACAGTGATGACAGTTTGAAAAAAGAAGGGAATAGTAGTTGTTTATGATTCATAGTGTAAAAAAGTACTTATTAAGTGTTTTCATGTCAATGAACAGGTATAATAAACTTGGTCAATAAAAATATGAAATTTGAATTAAAACATCACTAGACATGATGATTTACCATTTAAATTGTACTTCCTGCTATCCAAGTTTTTTTTTTATATTCAGAGATCTAGATTACCGTGTGTATTTTCTCGTGAACTAAGCCAGAAATAGCAATCAGCTGTACATGTTTTCTCCCAATCTACCCGAGATTCAGTTAAAAAGTAGCAAATGATATAACTTCAAAGAGTTTTGATGCAATGGTCGGAAGAAATTGTATCTGAAATTATTGTTTTTAACGAGAATCACATCTTCCAATATTGTGTTATTTTAGTTTAGCTTTTACTGTACATATTTAAAATTACAAGAACCATAAGTGTAGCACTTTGGAACAGCTGGTTCCTATTGCAGGATATTTTTATGTATGGAAACATTTGACCAGTCACTGTAGGGACTTCCTGCGCTACATGTATTTTGATTGCGAAAACGCTATTAGGCATATAATAGTCAAATTGCCACAAATATATCCGAGTCAAAGTATGGCATTTATGATATAATTATCCATTCTCTGGCAACTAAAGTTCATTTCGATCTACCAATCACTTCACACACGATTTCGCCGAAATTAATGTAAACAATATTGAATGAAATTTTGAATAAAATTAATAAATTACTTTACAAACATAAGTCCACATATAGAATGATCACATTTTTATAACCAGATAGTTTAATAATGGGATTAAATTGTGTACTTCAGTTCGGATTTGTTGACTGGTATTTGTGGTGTTATGTGATCAGCTGATAATGTTTGCGAGATGTGGAAAAACATGAGTTTCTTAAAAATGTAAGTAAATTTTGGGAGGCATTTGTTACCGCCTGCTAAAACCCGAGTTCGAACTATATTGAAGAGCACAATAGCGAGGGAACACTGTACTTAAGATTTGCGTTCCGTATTTTGGTGTATCGAAAAATAGGCCCATGAGTATAGTGTATCATATATCGTATTGAGGGTCAAGTTTCGCGATGCATTGGAATATCGGTGTACAGCTTCACCCTCATAAAATAGCAGACTCCCTGGTGTCTTCACCCAAGGTAGTGGCCACCAGTCACCTGTCTTTAGTCACATCTTTTTGGCAAATGCGCAGTTGGTTCCTCACCTTGCTGAGGCACACTGACGAACGATTCCATCACCTTCCACTCCGAGACGACCTACTTCTTCAGCCTCACTCTCAGTGGCTCCATCCGTCCCTTGCAACGCTCCATCTCTGCGTCTGACGCATGTCAGAAGTCCCTTATCACCAAAGGCAACTCAAAACGGGTTGCAAAGACCTTAACTGTAGCTCATCGTTCATCTACCATGCGCCTTTACTATCTGAAGTGGACAGCCTTCGACAATGTTTGTTGGCTCAAGACATTTCAACTCCCACCTCAGCTTTACATCAGCAGAGTATTTACATCACCTGAATTCAACATGGAAGCTGCGGCTATTAACTCTGTCATTGTCACCACTTCGGGTGCAAAGGTTTCCACGGTTGCAGAACTACAATCGCTCATCTGCTCTTATAAACTAGCAGACCAAGTCCCTCTCTTTTGACCCCCTTTGTGGGACCTGAATGTTATTTTAAAACATCTGGTTTCCTGTGATTATGATTATCCTTACGAGTTTTGACGTTTGTATATACAGAATAAATCATTGAACATTTACTTTGGTGTCATGGGTTTTATGATTGTTCAGGTTTTCCCTGATGGTGGGTTGATTAGCTCATCTAAAGAGGCTTTTTAGTCTTCATCTACAAAGTCGCCATTAGGCGTGGCCTTCATAAAACTTAGAATGGTGTCCCTAACCTTTATGCGGCTCACCTCTGCCTTTGATATTTGTGATGTAGGGTTTTGGTTCGAAGGTCCTTTCTATGGAATATTGTCGATCGTTCCTCTTCTCACCTTGGTTCACTTCATGCACTCTAATGTGTTTAAAAACCTTTTCCTGCTCACAAGTTCCTGTCTTTTAGACACTAGACAGTATTTAAAATTTATAAACAAAATCAAAATGACACTGTCTAGATCCAGATTCAGTGTGTGTATTCTCACGGTTGTAGTCTATACTGGCTAGAGTAGCTGCGACCACCATCCAACCGTGGGATAAAATGCAAAGTGTGAGATAGGATATGTTTAAAAATTATAAAATTTTAGCATAAATTGTGTATCTATATACTTATATCCTATCTCACACACAATATGCCCAACCGACCACCTCCGCATATGAATTCTTCTAGCCTGCTAGCTCTGCGAAAGAGAATGAGTTGGCAGCTGCAGAGGCAAATACATGGTTAGCTCAAAGTAAGCTTGCTGTGCACGGGAGCATGTAAATGACCCAGCTGCTGGATGTAACCATGGAGATGCTTGGGTTTGTTCAGATGAAAGTTTTTGATTCAGAAGCTGGAAACATGGTTCAAGCACGTTTCCACATAGGATCGAAGAAGAAGATATGGAAAGTGTCAGATAGGACAAGTATATAAATATATAATTTATACTAACATTTCCAAACTTGAACTAAGACCAAGTTTCAACAATTGTGATCAGAAACAGACTTTCAGTCTTTAGAAAAAGATGTCAAACTGGAGGTCATTGTAATGGAACAGCATGTGGAAAGAGAGAGATTGAGATTGCACCTACCCTCTAATCATGGCGAAAGACTCATCACTGGAGAAGTATGAGCTACCCTCTATGCTAGTCACAGTTTCCTTGCCTGCATTGATGAGGTCTGCATCCTCCTCACCAGGACGGGGGAACGGACCCTGTGCAAGTATGGGGGTTCACAGACACATCATACTTCATTTCATAATCATTCATCAAACATACATAATAACAGGAGATATTGCTTGGGTGATGTACAATGAAACAGCACACAATGCTTTGCAAACCATTGCATTGTTACTGGTGACCATGACATCACAATAAAATGACATCACTATTCCCTCTGCCACTGAAACTGGTTAGCTATACAGTTTACACTCAAGACACTGGTTATTACTGTTTACAAACAGAAAGAGTTGGAAGAATTAGAATCTCACCCTTGTCTCTCCTTGATAAAAGTAACAATATACTCAGCAAGCCTCACATATTTGTAACTTTGATCAACTCGTCTTGATATATATGAACACTCCGGTGAGATTCTCTATTTATCAGAATCAAAATTGTAGAAAAAAAAACAAAAAAATGTGTTAATGCAGGTTAAACCTGTGTTAATGTGTGTTAAACCTGTTAAACCTGTGTTAATGTGTGTTAAACTTGAGTTTATGTGTGTTAAACCTGTGTTAATGTGTGTTAAACTTGAGTTAATGTGGGTTAAACCTGTGTTAATGTGTCTTAAACCTGTTAAACCTGTGTTAATGTGTGTTAAACTTGAGTTAATGTGTGTTAAACCTGTGTTAATGTGTGTTAAACTTGAGTATGTGAGTTAAACCTGTGTTAATGTGTGTTAAACTTGAGTTAATGTGGGTTAAACCTGTGTTAATGTGTGTTAAACTTGAGTTAATGTGGGTTAAACCTGTGTTAATGTAGCAAGTGTATATATTTGTATTTTAGTTTTTTGTAAATAAATCTATTTCAAGTTTTGTTTCTGTTGAACTATATTCAACAGAGGTGTGTTTTCATCCCATCATTTTAAGTCCAGCCCTCAGTGATCAATCACATCCCAAGCTATACTACATTCTTTGTCCAGCCCTCTACTGATCAATCACATCCCAAGCTATACTACATTCTTTGTACAGCCCTCTACTGATCAATCACATCCCAAGCTATCCTGTGATTGGCCAAATTCAAACTTTCTTGCTCTGACTAACTCCATATTGCCACCTTCACTATTAGTCAGTTGGCCACCAGCAGAAAAAGTGGCTTAGTTTAGATTTTCGTTCCCACATTTTCCTGTATACCTTAAACCTTTTCTATTGCGTATCTGTACACAATTTCCATTGGTAAGTAAGCTTGAAAGGGTGTGTAGGAATTTTCAGGGGGTCAAAATTGCATAAATTGAAGGAAAAATGCATAATTTGACAAAATTGGCTGTAACATTTTTATTAAGTCATTAAACTATCCAAATTATGTCTTTGATTACAGGTAATATGTTCGGTTATCTGAATTTGGCAAACATTTTGTTTCATTTAACTGTTATTTTAATTCTCAGTGGAAACATTGGTAAAAATCATGCTTTTTTACTTCATTTTCAAATCTTTTGAGTAGGTAAAACTCTAATTCCATTGCATTGTGACAATAAAACCACTATAACAGGGTACTAAAATCTGCCTTAACCATTGTACTATCCTATACAAAAAACAAAATGAAAATATATTACATAGGGGTTGAAATATTGTATACAATGTTACCCCATCCCCCAAAAACCAATTTTGACGAAAATTGCTTATTCAGATATGGTGGTAGATGATATTGCTGTAGTGGATGAGTGGGATAATTGCAACAATGCTTTAAAACACCAAAATAGTAAACTCATAAAGAAAAATGATGTTTCAAGCTTTTCTGTGAGCATTTATGGTGGCCATCTTGAATTTCAAGATGACCACCATTTTTACCTGTTTTCAAAATCAAGATCTTATATAGTTCTTCAACATGGTCATGTAATATATCATATAAAAGCCTTTAACATTGTCTTTTCAATGATGTACATTATTCACTGACTCCTGTGGTAAATTTACCCCCAACAATGAAAAAAGGAAATATTGAAATCTAATTTCTCTTGCGACTTCAACCCATACCAAAATTTAGATTTAAATTAAAATGGACATATTTTCACTCAAAATTGTATATATACTGCACTTTAGTTCTTCAACATGGTCATGTAATATATCACATGAAAGCTTTTTTACAATGTCCTTTCAATGATGTGCCTTATTCACTGACTTCTGTGGTAATCTTATCCCCCAATAATACAACAAATGATATATCGAAAGCTAATTTCTCTAGCAACACCAACCAACCTCCAAAGTCATATTTTAATAAAATGGACATCGTTTCACTCAAAATTGTAGATATACTGCACTTTTGTCTGAGCATTTCACTAGTTTATCTTTTGAGTGAAAAAAAAACATGCGAATACTTGTAGTATTTTGAAGTATTTGAAGTCAAGGGCTGTGAAATAATGTCACCTCTAGTCACCATCAGAGTCCATCTCATCTGGAAAGGTAGGTAAGTTGTTTCTGTTTAGGCATGAAATAGCACAACTGCATCCAAGGGAACATCCCATGATGTTTTTGGCGCAGCTACACCTGAATGAGGAGCATCTGCCTGTTGTGCATTTACATGTGAGCAATTATAGACACAGTGCTGGCATTCATTCCTGGGTCATTGGGATGGGTTTTATGACATTGTCTGTAGACGTCCACCTATACCCTTCTGGTGCTGGAATGTCAGCCTTTCCTTTGTGGGCAGAACACCACGTGATGTCAATGTGCTGACATCTGAGTAGAAATTGTGTGGTGGGAATTCCTCTAGGTCTCCGACTCTGTGGAACATGTCAGCTTTAAGTGTATTAATGCTGGTTGCAGTTGATGCTGGATTTTACACTTTGATGACAAGTGAGTCTGTCAATTTACCACAGGAGTCAGTGAATAATGTACATCATTGAAAAGACAATGTGAAAAGCTTTCATATGATATATTACATGACCATGTTGAAGAACTATATAAGATCTTGATTTTGAAAACAGGTAAAAATGGTGGCCATCTTGAAATTCAAGATGGCCACCATAAATGCTCACAGAAAAGCTTAAAACATCATTTTTCTTCATGAGTTTACTATTTTGGTGTTTTTAAGCATTGTTGCAATTATCCCACTCATCCACTACAGCAACATCATCTACCACCATATCTCAATAAGCAATTTTCGTCAAAATTGGTTTTTGGGGGATGGGGTAACATTGTATACAATATTTCAACCCCTATGTAATATATTTTCATTTTGTTTTTTGTATAGGATAGTACAATGGTTAAGGCAGATTTTAATACCCTGTTATAGTGGTTTTATTGTCACAATTCAATGGAATTAGAGTTTTACCTACTCAAAAGATTTGAAAATGAAGTAAAAAAGCATGATTTTTACCAATGTTTCCACTGAGAATTAGAATAACAGTTAAATGAAACAAAATGTTTGCCAAATTCAGATAACATAACATATTACCTGTAATCAAAGACATATTTGGATAGTTTAATGACTTAATAAAAATGTTACAGCCAATTTTGTCAAATTATGCATTTTTCCTTCAATTTATGCATTTTTGACCCCCTGAAAATTCCTGCACACACTTGCAAGCTTACTACCCAATGGAAATTGTGTACAGATACCTCCTTTATGCAATAGAAAAGGTTTAAGGTATACAGGAAAATGTGGGAACGAAAATCTTGTTTTTCACCCCTGGCCAACTGACTATATGCACTGCATTGGGAGTATTCGTAGATCACCACAAAAGGTTAGTTTTTAATGGGTCTTGACTTCCAAATGGGATGAAATAGTAATCAAAGATTAGGCATTATAAATAAGCATTTATAAGTAGTTATCATATTTACATTGAATCATATATTTCCTTTAATGTTGATGTCTTGAATGAATGTTTTAGAGGCTGAACTTTAACCCAAGCAATAGTGTATTTTAATATTATCTTGTATACATGCTAAGTTATATCTACAATAATGGAAGTGCACAAACTATGCAATTTGTTATTTATTTCATTGTATTTTGTGTAAAACTTGAGTTGATGTGGGTTAAACCTGTGTTAAAGGGAACAGTGTTTACCAACCAAAGATAATATTTGCGGAAAGAATCAGGGTTTGAATCCTGTGATATTTTTTTGGAGCGAAGTACTTATGTCCTGCACAAAACATCGTCGATGATGATCATTTATGATTCCTTTAAGTATATGTGTTATCCTTAACATTGTCGAAACACGTGCACAGGATAATCACATATTGACATGTTCCTTGTATTAATATCACATTACATAATTTCTGAGCATGATGCACCCACCATTTTGGACTGTTTTTGAATAACTGCAGTTTGAACCTCCTAAAAGATCATGATTTAACTCCAAAATATAATGCCTGAAGGTTGTTTTTTTCTGTTGAGAGCGGTTAAAGCAAAAGTACCAGTTAAAGTCAGGTATATAACATGCAGGGTTTGTGTTGAATATCAGAAAGATATATTACCAACAAAAAGTAAAGGAACTGATGAAATGATAGTGAAGGTGTAATGACGATAAATGTCTGTAAAATAATTTTGGGTGTGCCTATCTATATCTGGTGTCTCCACCTTGTTGGTCAACACCTGGATGGTATACTGTTGATTTACTTGTTGTGTAAGAGCTACCAAAGCTGGGCAATGATGGCGAGTGCTGGGTGTCTGGCGTATACTCTCCGCCCGAGAACATCCCACAGATGCTCTATTGCGGACATGTCAGGGTACTTAGCGGGCCAGTCCAATGTCCGTGTGCCTTCTCGTCTGAGATAATAGGTGACAATCTGGACATGATGTCTGGCATTGTCATCTTGCAGTTCAAAATGTCTGCTGATAAATTTAGCAAATAGAACAACAGGACGTAAAATTTTGTCAACATATCACTGGCCAGTCAAATGGTCAACAATTGTTGCCCTGGCATACTGCTCACTGCTACGTCGCCAACAACATTTTCTGCCACCTGTGAAACAGGTGCGAAGCTTTGATTTGCTGTAAACATGGTATGATGCCATTGGCACACAGCCCCTCCCTTTGCTGCCTGTGGTAAGCTGTCAGGGTCACACCCTTCACAGGGTGCCTTGTCACAACCACTTACACTTTAACAACATAACATCAGGTTTGAAAGACACATGCCCAATGCAGTACACCTTTGAAACAGAAAGTCCTAGGACTCTTGCTGTCATAATTACAAAGTTATCAGCACTTCAGTTCTATTAGAGACTTTCAATCTCTGCAATGAACTCCCTGGAGATCATGTTCCAGTTAGACATGCTCCAGATAGTGTGTACACAAGCTTTACTGGGACTTCACACAGAGTAGCCCTGACCTTCCATGTCAGCTAAACACATGCAAGAACATGAATTGTTGCGAACTCAGGTGGTCTTACAAATATGAAATCTCCATGCCATGCTAACAATACTTTCTGAAAGAAACAATTACCGTAACAGATCATCTCATGAGTGAAATCCCACCTAGACCATGAATCCCACCATGTATACCAAGTTTCAGCAAATTCCATAAATACATACCGGGACTCAAGTTATCATGTACACAAGCTGCTCTAATGTCCAAGTCACTCAGTTGATCCTTCCCATATTAAAAACACTTGTGGTGAATAGAGATACCCATCATGTTTTGTGTATTTTCAACTGTTATCCAAGAAATATAATTTACAACCAATAATTTACAATGTTTCTTTCCACAAAGGTAACCTGTAAAATTTCAGAGTAATTTAATAAAGGATTCCCCTTCAATAGGAATTCCTAATGTTACATACCAGTCCAAGGATGCCGTTCTCACTCTGCAGGTTGACGTTGATACCCGGGCGGATAAAGTTGCTGGCCAACATGGGCATTCCAATACCAAGGTTTACTGACAAGGGTTAAGTAACATTTTCCACATTTCTATGTACAATGCATTGTAATTTGACAATATGTACAGTACTTGAAGCCTTCTTTAGACCAGTAGGAAGGATACCATACATGCCGTCAAGGAATTCCACAGCAGCTCGCTTGATTATCCTCTCCCTCATCAGAGCGCCAGCATCATGAGATTCATCCTTTGTTTTTTCTTTTGTCAACCGCAACCTCTGCAATACAGTAATTAGGTATTAATTAAGAAAGTATTAGGTGCTGCCTCAAACTATGTTAAAAGTATCCTCTGGCCAAGCAGATAATCCTGATATCCTGATAAAACAAAGCTGTTTTCTCAACCACCAACCATCTTCCCGAGACAAGTGAGTTAACTGACAATAAAAGTCCAGTTTCCACCCTTGCCGAACTAGGCTGCCATTATGGCTGGACCAACAAGTCTATGCATAGTCCAATCACAACCGCACAACGAAATTGAAATCCGGTTCATAAACTGTCAAGCAGATTTCGGTCGATAGCAGGATTTGCAAAGCCTGTGCACCGCCAACTCGTCAACAGCTATTTTCCAAATCTTTTTAAGTTTTTAATCGAGGTGCTCACATGATTTGATGCAGTTGGTGATGTAAGACCCGTTTTTATCACAATATAGATCTTGATTATCGATCAGATCATCTTGACTGGGCGCCGCCATTTTGTTTGAAGCAAATGCAAGTATTACGAGAAGTGGAATCTGATTGGTGAGGTGAGGTGAAATTGGTTTTAACGTCGCGTCCAAGATTATTGCACTTATATAGCGACGTGCATGGCTGCTTGTACTAGACCGGTCTGATGCCGATTTATAGTGCTAGCCCACTGAGATACCATACCGCAATTTAACATGAATACCCCACTCAGACACAGTATACTGACTCCGAGCCGACCAGTCCTTGCTTTAACCCCTTAATGCCGAGCACCAGACAGGGTAACAACAAGTACCATCTTTTAACGTCGCTTGGTATGACGCGGCAGGGGATCGAACCCCGGACCTTCCGCTCTCCGGGCAGACGCTCTACCATTAGACCATGGAGGCGGTCTAACATCTTCGAAAATATATCCATAGGAAAGGCACAGAAGGGACATAACTCGTCATAGCCACTGGTAGCACTACGATCAAGCCCAGGAATTCCAGTCTATTTTGGCAAGGGTGGAAACTGGACTTTTAAAGTCAGTTAACTCTCTTGCCTCGGGAAGATGACCACCAACATACCAGTAGTCTAAGTTGATGAGTAAAATCTGAATATTTTTTGCATTTGTATACTTACCCTGCATTACTCCTCAATGCATCTGTATCAGACGGTATTGAGGAGGTATACCTTCACATGTCAGAAAAACCTCAATAAACAAAACCCTTGACAAGACAAAAACTTGTTAAATAACCATATGGCATAAAAAGCAGCTCTAATTGCAGTGTAGAGCCATGGTAGAGGCTACCGCTCTGATCTCGTGAGGATTGTTTGCTCTCGGAGGATCAAGGTATGACTGCGCATAACCATAGAGATATGGTGTTGCGACCAACTTCGGTCGTGGATGAGGGGATATTGAAATTTTTCTCTTTGAGTACCCGGTAACTGATTGCGCAAGCCACGGCCGAGTTGGGAACGGCGGATGAAAGCTTGTAGTGCGCGCACCGGACAAAAGAGGAGTTTATCCTCATTTTCGACCCCACAATCATCAAGATTGGTGGGATGGTGAAGGAACGATTAGGTTGGCCTGGAAGTTGAGTTTTTATTGCTATGGAAAAATACCCAGCACAACCCGAGGTATACTGCTTCCTGCGTGACATGCTCAAAAACGCACACGGGTAATGTCAAGCACATGTAAATCGCTCACCCCTGCTGCAGTGGCTAAAGCCAAGAGAAACATTGTTTTCTTGGTAAGGTCATAAAGGAGGATGGGTTATGGAGCTTCAAGGGGGGCCCGTGCATACCTCCAAGTAGCACATTAAAATCCCACGCAGGGGGCCGAAATTGGCCTTCTGATCCTGGAGCCTGGAGGAGTGTAGTAGAGCCAGTATTTTGTCGTTTTGCTATTTCCCTGAACGGCCAACACTGAATTTGGCGCTACCAATTACCTTTTAATGATGCTACAATTCAAGTATCTTTTGGTACACAAGTGTAGGAGGTATTCAGCTAGGAATTGATCGCCACTTGACATCGTATGTTGAGAGACGATGTGCCAAAATAATGTTCTTAGCTGCACACTCTGAATAGCCATTGGCACTTCACTTCTTTTAAAGACAATGTTTGCAGATGAAATCTGCCTAGCTTTGGGTGAGGTAGTTTGCTATGAGGGTGGATGAGTAGGTTGGACCACTGTGGGAGGGGTAGTGGATCTTCATCTGCAAAGTCTTTTAAAGGTCGACGAACCACCTCCTTGCTGGCCACAAAGGCACAACCAAAGTCAGAGCAAGGTTCTTGTATCTTTGATCCTTAGTATCACCATGGGCAGTAATACAAGAGGCCGAAAAAGCGTACGGGGAGACATACGTCTTAAGTTGGTGGTTCTGGTAAGTCGCAAACAGGCCGATGTTTGATTGCCCGAAGGCTGAAGCACCATCTGGAACCGTGAGTGAAGTTCCAACTCCGTGGGGTTTAACGTCGCGTTCAAGATTATTGCACTTATATAGTAACGTGCATGTATGTGTTTTTGGCTGCTTGTACTAGTCCAGACTGATGCTGATTTATAGTGCTAACTCACTGAGATACCATGCCGCAGTTTAACATAAATACCCCACTCAGACACAGTATACTGACTCCGAGCCGACCAGTCCTTGTTTTAGCCCCTTAATGCCGTGCACCAGACAGGGTAACAACATGTACCATCTTTTAACGTCTTTTGGTATGACACGGCCAGGGATTGATCCTTGGATCTTTCGCTCTCCGGGTGGACGCTCTACCACTAGACAACGGAGGCGGTGCGGCCTCAATCAAGACAAACCAGACATCTGAGGTGGTAAGTATGGTCTCGAAGGAGAGAGCGGTGAACAAAAATAACATTTTAAATTGGAGTGCAACCCCGAGTGCAATCCAAGCAACGTGGATGGGGATCTTTAGAAGATTTGAAACACGACAATTTGTACACCCCAAAATCAGAAGTTGTAGTTGAGATGGACTTGAGCATGCCAATGAAAAACACAGATGATACAATCGGCAAAAAGTTACAAGTTTTAAAAGTGTATAATTTTTAAATACACGAAAACTATATGTAACACCAAGAGCTAGAGGTATTTAAATATATATAAGCATGTTAATAGCTAGATTAGAATTGCAAACAAATTTGACTACCTTGGTAAGAGGTAAACAAATGTAACGCAAATTCAAAATGGCAGCCACATATCTTTTTACATGGAAAACAACCACATATTAATACCCAATTAGAGCAGCAGCCCAGTGCACTTTGGTCAAACGAACAAGGTACCAATATCCGAACACAGGAACATTTACTGTGTAACCCAACATATTCATATATGGATGTCTGCCGGGGACCCCCTGCTGCGTGTGGCCCCTGGCCCCCACCATTAAAGGGCTGGATCAAACATTGGAGGTACCACATGAAAGTAAGTGTAAATGACCTGGTTCATCTCACAGAGCACAGAATGGGCCACACCAGACAAATCTTCCTCTGCATAAGGCCTGCCAGACACCCCAGAGATGGTCCCAAAATTTGGGCTGGGTTAAACATTTGGAGGTACCACATGAAATCAACATATAATGAACTATTACACTCTACTAAGTATAAAATACCCATTGCCAGACAAATCGTCTGCTGCATAAGGCCCGCCAGACACCCCCAAATGTTGACCCTTAATGCACTCAGTGGACACTCCGGTAAAATTTGACTAGAGTATACATTCAAAGTACCAGATGAAAGTAAGTTTAGATGAACAGGTACATGTTACTGAGTACAAAACGGCCCATACCTGACAAATTTTGCTCTGCATAAGGTTCGCCATACCCCCCAGAGAGGGTCCCAAAATTTCGGCTGGGTTAAACATTGGAGGTACCACATAAAACCAACATAAAATGAACAATTGCACTCTACTTATTGCACAATACCCTTTGCCAGACAAATCATCTTCTGCATAAGGCCCGCCAGACACCCACAAAAAGTTTACCCTTCAGGTATACACGGGTAAAATTGGAGGTATCACATGGAACCAACATAAAATGAACAATTGCACTCTACTTATTACAAAATACCCATTGCCAGACAAATCCTCTTCTGTTTAAGGCCCGCCAGACACACCCTCACCCCACCCCACACAGTTGACTCTCTGTAATCCCAGTGTGCAAAATGAAACATAGGAGGCAGAAGAGCATTGGACATCAGCTCTGAGTCAACAGATGGTCAAATTTATGTTTTGTTCTTAAAGATGGAAGGATTTTATTGAGATTAAAATCACGTATTTATAAAATTAGGTCTCTGAATACTAGTGTTGATATCATAGATTAGGCCTATCGTTGAAATGTAATGAAAATGGCATGAATCTGGTTCTTGTGAATATATATCTGATCAGCTATGAAGTCCTCAAAGCCTCCTATAGCCTGATAGCTTGGCTATGGATTCCTACAAGCCAGATAGGCATATGATGCTATGTGCCATGATTTTTATATACTGAACAACAAAGGTTCCCGTGACATTGAATAAGATTTGATGCAAAATTATGTTTTTTACCAAATCTGAAACAATTTCGGTTTGCAACAGATAAAAGACTCCTGTAAGTGTTCAAATGGTTTAATTTGTCACACTGACTTTAAAAAAAACCATGAACATGCCAAAATGTCAATCTAAAAGTTAATAGCGAGTGTGTCCACCTCTTGTTGCGATGCAAGCAACACATCTTTGTCTCATGGAATGGACCAGGCGTCCCACAAAGTCCTGTGGGATATCTGTCCATATCTGCTGGAGCATGTTTCGAAGTTCCTGGAGTGTCTGTGGAACACGTGGTTGACGTCGAAGGCGCAGATTCATCTCATCCCACACGTGCTCGATTGGTGATAGATCAGGGGAGCCGGCCGGCCAGGGGATGACATTCACATTGTTTGGTTGAAGAGATCCTGAACAAGTCGAGCAATATGAGGCCAGGCGTTGTCACGTTGAAAGGTAATGCCTGGGCCATGACAACGCAAAACGGTAGAACAACAGGGCCGATGATCTCGTCGCGGTAGTGCTGTCCATTGAAATTTACCTCTACCACTACCAAACGGGTCCTCTGTCTTGCTGTAATCCCACCAGATACCATAACGCTGTCGCCCCAGAACCGATCTTCTTCCATGACACAATGATTGACGTAACGTTCACCACGACGTCAGTACACTCGAATCCGTCTTGGGGTGAAACGAGACTCGTCAGTGAATAGAACTTGTCCCTACTGTATGACTGTCCAGCGTAGACGCTGTCTGCAAACTGATGACGTGGTTTCCTGTCAAAATGGGACGTCTGGTGGGTCTTCTGGCGACAATCCCTGCACATCTGAGGCGGCGACGTACGGTTTGTGAAGATATTCGTCGAAGGCCAGGGATGCTTCTTGCAGTCACTGTTGCTGGCTGGAATCGATTTCGTAGGTGTGTTGTTCTTATCAAGTTGTCTTGTCGATTATTGGACTATTGCAGACTTGATTTTCCTGACGCAATAGTATCTCGTCAACGAAGAGAGGACGTCTATGTAAAATTAATAACTATGGACATATTTGGCCGGAATTCAGCTTTTTAGATGATAAAACTTGCTAAATAAACGGAGATCATAGGTTTTTAAACACAATTATCACCAAGAGATTTCCAAATGGTATTAGGGACTATCATTAACCATTCTTATAGCAGGCTTTGAGGACTACCTAAGCATGTTTGGGTTTGTAGGAATCCATAATTTTATAAATACGTGATTTGAATCTCAATAAAATCCTTCCATCTTTAAGAACAAAACATAAATTTAACCATCTGTTGACTCTCAGAGCTGATGTCCAATGCTCTTCTGCCTCCTATGTTTCATTTTGCACACTGGGATTACAGAGGGTCAACTGTGTGGGGTGGGTTGAGGGTGTGTCTGGCGGGCCTTAAACAGAAGAGGATTTGTCTGGCAATGGGTATTGTGCAATAAGTAGAGTGCAATTGTTCATTTTATGTTGGTTCCATGTGATACCTCCAATGTTTAAGCCTTATGCAGAGGAAGATTTGTCTGGTGTGGCCCATTCTGTACTCTGTGATATGAACCTGTTCATTTCAACTTACCTTAATGTGGTACAATCGATATATATTCCAGGCCAATTTTACCCGTGTATACCTGAAGGGTAAACTTTTTGTGGGTGTCTGGCGGGCCTTATGCAGAAGATGATTTGTCTGGCAAAGGGTATTGTGCAATAAGTAGAGTGCAATTGTTCATTTTATGTTGGTTTTATGTGGTACCTCCAATGTTTAACCCAGCCGAAATTTTGGGACCCTCTCTGGGGGGTATGGCGGACCTTATGCAGAGCAAAATTTGTCAGGTATGGGCCGTTTTGTACTCAGTAACATGTACCTGTTCATCTAAACTTACTTTCATCTGGTACTTTGAATGTATACTCTAGTCAAATTTTACCGGAGTGTCCACTGAGTGCATTAAGGGTCAACATTTGGGGGTGTCTGGCGGGCCTTATGCAGCAGACGATTTGTCTGGCAATGGGTATTTTATACTTAGTAGAGTGTAATAGTTCATTATATGTTGATTTCATGTGGTACCTCCAAATGTTTAACCCAGCCCAAATTTTGGGACCCTCTCTGGGGGTGTCTGGCAGGCCTAATGCAGAGGAAGATTTGTCTGGTGTGGCCCATTCTGTACTCTGTGAGATGAACCAGGTCATTTACACTTACTTTCATGTGGTACCTCCAATGTTTGATCCAGCCCTTGAATGGTCCCTACTTTTGGGGGGCCAGGGGCCACACGCAGCAGGGGGTCCCCGGCAGACATCCATATATGAATATGTTGGGTTACACAGTAAATGTTCCTGTGTTCGGATATTGGTACCTTGTTCGTTTGACCAAAGTGCTCTGGGCTGCCGGTCTAAATCAAGTGAAAGTAATATGAAAAGGATACATCACCCATCGCAGACATAATTTAGTGTGGTAGCAGAATCTAACCAATAAATTAAGCAAAAGATTGGAGAGTCATAGTGAGACACGTCCTTGCTAGTAAAATGAAATATGATTTGATGTGACGGGGGTGCATTCGGCTGAGATGTTTTCTCTGTTCTCCGGGAACACAGTTCAGGAAGTTTCCACTACCTTTCGGAAATGAGTAGAGATAAGCAATGAGTAAGGATAAAATAATAATATTTTACAACCCATAATAAACAAGTCTAAAAATGTGTTTAGCTCTATCGTTTTATAAACTCTTTTTGTCTTTCTTTGTTGACAAGTGCCAGTGATAATAAAGTACAGCAACATCTTGTCACTCACAAGAAAATGGTCTTACACCTTAGAGAGATTTTTACCATTCTACCTTGTATAAAGTGGCTTGCAAGCTACCCACCTCAATCCTCTTCTCATACTTTGGTCCACGGATGACACGCTGCACATAAATGTGGGGCACATGGACATCTTCTGCAGGGATTTCTCCAACATCCACAATCTCCTCCACCTCAGCTATAGTAATGGTCGCGGCTTTACACATTGGTGGGTTGAAGTTACGTGCTGTCTTCCTGCAGCAATGCCATCAGTTTTAGTCAGTGAAACCTCCCAGCTCGCTACTTTACAAAATTCTAAACATGAATCATGTCTACTAAACATACAACAGAATACAAACCATTATAGGATGATTTGTAATATTGAAAGCAAAGAGTATCTATTGAACAGGGCAAAAAAATAAAATGTGATGGTACTACATGAAAATATGTCTTTTTTTCCCCTTGAGAAACTTGTTTGTTGTGTAACACCACACTCAGCTAAAGCATGGGATCTCTAAATAATGAATTCTGGACCATACTATCCAGCAATTTACATCATGAGCATCGATCCACACAATTGGGATACAGTGACATACAATCAACCAAGGCACCAAGTCTGACCACCCGATCCATTCAGTTGCCTCTAACAACATGCATACATTGCTGGGGGCCTGACCACCCTCTAACAACATGCATACATTAGTGGGGGCCTGACCACCCTCTTACAACATGCATACATTGGTTAGGGCCCGACTACCCTCTAACAACATGCATACATTGCTGGGGACCCGACTACCCTCTTACAACATGCATACATTGCTGGGGGCCCGGCTACCCTCTTACAACATGCATACATTGGTTAGGGCCCGACTACCCTCTAACAACATGCATACATTAGTGGGGGCCTGACTACCCTCTTACAACATGCATACATTGCTGGGGACCCGACTACCCTCTTACAACATGCATACATTGCTGGGGGCCTGACTACCCTCTAACAACATGCATACATTAGTGGGGACCTGAGCACCCTCTAACAACATGCATACATTAGTGGGGGCCTGACCACCCTCTAACAACATGAATACATCAGTGGGGGCCTGACCACCCTCTTACAACATGCATACATTGCTGGGGGCCCGACTACCCTCTAACAACATGCATACATTAGTGGGGACCTGAGCACCCTCTTACAACATGCATACATTGCTGGGGGCCCGACTACCCTCTAACAACATGCATACATTAGTGGGGGCCTGACCACCCTCTAACAACATGCATACATTAGTGGGGACCTGACTACCCTCTAACAACATGCATACATTGCTGGGGGCCCGACTACCCTCTAACAACATGCATACATTGCTGGGGGCCTGACTACCCTCTAACAACATGCATACATTAGTGGGGACCTGACTACCCTCTAACAACATGCATACATTAGTGGGGGCCTGACTACCCTCTAACAACATGCATACATTGCTGGGGGCCTGACTACCCTCTAACAACATGCATACATTGCTGGGGGCCCGACTACCCTCTAACAACATGCATACATTGCTGGGGACCTGACAACCCTCTAACAACATGCATACATCAGTGGGGGCCTGACCACCCTCTTACAACATGCATACATTGCTGGGGGCCCGACTACCCTCTAACAACATGCATACATTAGTGGGGGCCTGACCACCCTCTAACAACATGCATACATTGCTGGGGGCCTGACTACCCTCTAACAACATGCATACATCAGTGGGGGCCTGACCACCCCCTTTTACAACATGCATACATTGCTGGGGGCCTGACTACCCCCTAACAACATGCATACATTAGTGGGGGCCTGACCACCCTCTAACAACATGCATACATTGCTGGGGGCCTGACTACCCTCTAACAACATGCATACATTGCTGGGGGCCTGACTACCCTCTAACAACATGCATACATTAGTGGGGACCTGAGCACCCTCTAACAACATGCATACATTGCTGGGGGCCCGACTACCCTCTAACAACATGCATACATTGGTTATTTAATCTAACTGTCCAACTCAAGAAATACAGGGTTAGTGTACATTGTACTACACAAAGCACTCTGGTTAATTACTGTGCCAAATCCAAACTCAGCCTTGGAGGCATATTGAGAAATCAATCACTATCTTAAAGTTTTGCATAGAAGTATAATTAAAAGTCCATGTACTAACTTTTTAAATATTTGACAAAACTTAAATATATGTGAAAATACCAAAATTCGCAATGTTGGTTTGCACATTTGTTTGAATAAAACATTTGCATTTACATGCTTCCCTCAATTTCTAACATGCATAGTTTAAAGAACATTGCAGAGCCTGAAGCAATATATGAATTGTTGTCAAATGAGACCTAATCTACATTTTTCTATGGCATATTATACCATATCTTTGACAACGGGACTTAGTGATTCTCGGCTTCACCTCTCAATATAGGCAAGTAAGCTGGCCTAAAATATACTGCCAACAAAAAATAAGGGAACTAATGACTTGAATGTAGCTATCGTTGAGGTGTACATTTACAATACCGTGGCGTTGCATCTGAACACAACATCTAATCACAATGACATTTCACATCATGCATGAACAGCATGCGATGCTCACAGAAGCCAAAGTGTAAGCACCCATAGGATAACTCACAATCACTAATGCAATTGAGGTGAGCACCATGCTTAAAAAAATGCTTAAAAATGTCTCTGAGACTGCATCTCCATGAACAGACAAAATGGCGAATTGTGGGTACGATGGAGGGGTCGTCAATATCCCACATTGCCTGAATGTTTGGCAAATCAAAATGTGTCATTTCTAGACTGTAGGACAAGTACCATCAAAGGTGATGAGACCGTTGTGGGATAGGCCTAAGAAAAACAACACCTGGACAAGATCGTCTCATAACATTAATTGCACTACGCAATAGATTCAAATCTGCTACTGTTATCAATAGAGAATTAAAAACTGACTCAATGCAGCCCGTTTGAAAGCAAGGCGTCCTGTGAAGAGTGTGATACAGCAATGAATAGCCTTATAAAATTGCTGTTGTAGTAGCCATATTGAAAAAAATGGGATTGGAACCTCTTTGAGGAAACTAGAGTGTTATCATTGGAAGTTTCAGGTTCACTGGTCAAATAGTTTTTTTGGTAGATGTGAAAAAGTCAAATCCATTTTATTTATTTCTTGACTTCCACATTTCACTTACTGCATGTCAAATACATAGTCTGAAATGATCTGTTCACATGCCTGCCATGGCAAAGTTTAAATCATATCGTAAGTCTGTTAGCATTGTTGAAATGCTTTGCTTCATTGGCCATGTCACGCTTAAGAGACATACAAAAACAGACAGACAGAGAACTACCAAAAGATGTCTAATGAGCTCACTTGCTTAAAATTACCTTGAGTTATCACCATAAATAATTGTGGCAGTACCAACCTGAATGTGAGGTTTCCTGCTTTATCTGCCTTCCAGGCCTTCACCAGGGCAAAGTCCCCTGTTATGGCCTCCTCCATAATGTAGGGCACACCACTGAAAGTCCGACACTGTCAAAAGACAAAGAACAACCTACAGACTGACTCACTGATGTGAGTGACTGGAACATGTGGTACATAGTCTTATCATATATGGCGACAAACTGACCACAGAAAAGTGTCCTAGTTGCGCACAATGAACAAGAAGCAAGGTACCAATATAAGACAAACAATATATAAGATTTAGAATAATATTTCCAGAAAGATTAATGAATATGGCTTGTAATATGCATCAAGCAAATGTTGTTTATTGAAAAATATGTGTACTACACTATTACCTCCCTTGGACTGCTGGCAATATCAATGGAGCCGTCCGAGTTGTATTTGATAGGTGCTCCACCTTCATGTATGAGAGTGCCATAGCCAGTGGGAGTGAAGAAGGCTGGCACACCGGCGCCACCAGCACGGATCCTCTCAGCAAGGGTGCCCTGTGGCAGTAGCAATCACACAATATTACCAAATACTCACAAGTATTAACATCATTTAAAAGAGGATTTTCATCTCATTGACAGATGCACTTTTTTTAAAAATAGAAACTGAAAAACATAAAACATAAAAGATGTAATTTTGTCTAAACAGATGAGGCTTTTAATAATGTATTTTTTTTAGAAAACTATTATTTATACTTATCCTGACTCATACTTATTGATTATCTCTCTCTTCAAACTTGGAAGTGGAAACATCCTGTGCTGTGAACAGAAAAACATCTCACCCTATACACCCTGTGTCTGCACAGGTGCACCGAAACCATGTGACCAAGACCAATAACTCATCATTCTCTCTTTTACCCTACTTAATTGTCCGAAAACACATCAGTGCAGAGAGGGGAGGCCGGGTGGGTGCTCATGCATATGACTCAGGATAAGTATAAACAATATTTTTCCTAAAAAATATACATATTTTATCTTATCCTGACTCATACTTATTGCTGAAATCTCACTGAGGTGTTGGATCCACCTGTATGTGTGATTAACGCCAATCTGTTCTATAAACCCATGATTTTCTATGTTGTTTTCTTAATCATTCTTTTGGTGTACTTGCTTTTTTGTGAGCAGCATATATGGAAGTAAGTCTTTTTAGATTTTGTGGATTTTGAAAGGTTTGCGAAGATATTTAAAGATCTTGCTTGCCTTAAACGATTACAGAGTTCAGAACCGATCAATAATCTTCAACACAATCCTTATCACTCATGTGCTGATTTGCGTAGTAAAACAGGAACATGGACTCTCAGTTGTTGGTTATGGAAGAGTAACCCGACTTCCCTGAATCTATGTGATGTCGTGTGTGAGTGTAGATGATCATCTGGTGGGCTTTGTGGGTTGCTGTGCAGCAACAAGCAGTCCAAATTGATTAATGCTTGTGATTGGAAAACACTGTATCTAATTTCCAGAAGCAGCCTTCAAGGGTTGATGGTATCGAGCAGTTACTATAAAGCGCTAGAGTAGAGGCTATTGCGCTTCATGAGGGTTGGAAGCTGATGGGGATCCAAACTGGCTGCTCTGTATGCCCTGAGAATGACAGCTCTTCTCCAGAATGAAATAGTTTTTCTTGGGATTACAGAGCGAGTATTCCTTAATAAAGGAATAAACAGTCTTTTAAAACCTCTTCTTCTATGTTGTGACTTTTTTAAGTATACGAGTAAGCGTCATGCTGGGCATAGTGATAAATCCTCTGTATCCTCTGAACCATGGATGGCGGAGGGAGCCGGGACAATGAATTGTCTGTCTGGTTGCCACTGTCAAATCTAATGCGATTGGCATCTATCCCATGGATATCAGACAGAACTGATATCAGCCAAGCAGATGCCTAGTGTCAAGCCTTTAAGATTCCTTGTGCTTCTTAAATGAAGGTAGTCTGCTACTTGAAGAAGAAGTTTGGAAGTTTTAGTGTTGTGATTCCTGATAGTTCCTGTTTGCAAATAGGTCTATTAATGGGCTGCCTTTCTCCTTAACTACCAACTGGAATGCTCCTGGGTGAAGTTTCCATTATGTTGGTAATGGTTTGGCTGGTCTGGATAGGGTGTCTGCTGAGACATTTGCCACTCCTGGTATGCGTCTTGCCCATAATGTTAGACTTAGGCTGTCTACAAGTTCATAAAGTTGAAACGTTAACTTCAGATTTATGTTGAAGGCCACAGTTGAATTATCCGATCTGATCATCGCAAATTTGTTTCTTAAGTGTGGGGTCGAGTGGGATATTGCTCGGATTACTGCTTCATATTCCAGATAATTGATATGGACGGATGTTTTTGTCTCGGATCATATGCCTGACGTTACTTCCGAGTTGAGGTGTGCTCCCCATCCTTGAAGTGAAGCGTCCATGTAAAGGTGATTGCGTGTAATAAGTTTCTGTGCGGACGTTCAATTTTACTGTCTACCATAAAAGGTGTTTCCTCAATTTGTGCGGCAGTCGAAGTTTTAATTCCTTGTATTCTAAGTATAGATTTAGAAATCTCTGCATTGGACGTAAGTGTAGTCTCCCTTGAATAGTCAGAGCCTGAGCTGATGTAAGTAGGCCGAGTAACACTTGCCATTGGTTGATAGAGATTTGGTTGTGAATTGCTGTAAAGTGCTGGTAAGTAATTCTGGATTTTTATCCACCGATCTTCCAGTACTAGAATTTCATTCTGCCTTGTTAGAAACCTGATCCCTAGGAATTCGAGGTCCTGGGAGGGTTGTAGGTCTGATTTCTGATAATTTATTAACCAACCTACTTGAGTTAATAATTTCAGGGTGAAATTCAGTTGTTGTTGTTGGAGTAGCGTAGTAGCGTTAATTCCATCATCTAGGTAAAAAGCGCAACAAATTCCCCTGTTGTGCAGAAATGCCACAATTGGTTTGGTCACAAGTATAAAGGACTGCCCACCGCTAATGTTGGCCTTTGAAAAGGAAACGTAGACATTTCCTGAACATTGGACGAATGGGAATGTGTTAGTAAAGCATATTGTAGAACTATGCTTACAAGTTTATCGTGTTGTCTTATCATTTGTTTCAATAAAGGCAGATGAACCATTCTGAATTTTTCCAGTGTTTGGAGGTAATTCTTGTAGTTAGCACTTCCGGATGAATAATCTGTACTGTGAAGTGAGAGAGCGGGGGCAAAGTTCAGTCGTTCATGAATCGTTCTTCATCTGTTATGCACTCCACTGGACCAGAGTCATATCTTGTCAAGTGGCTTTCAAAAAGAACTATCTTTACCTCCTCTACAGCTGTTAGAACATTTCTCTGTAGCGCTTTGGATTCCTGAGAAACAGCTTTTGAATTGTGTTCTTTGTACAGATTGTCAATAAATTGAACACATGGTTTGTGCTGATATAATTAGCATTTGATCTTTAGAATACTGCATCACCTCCTTGTTATTGTTACAAATGTGACCATTAATAATGGTTGTTGCCTCCCATAGTTGACGTAGTAATTCTTTGGTGTAAAGGTCTGACCAATTAGAATTGGCTACGAGGCCTTGATGTCGCAGCAATGTAAGACCTCTTGATACTGAGCTCATATGATCAGAAATGAATTCTTGGTTTTTCTTTTGACCGAATCAAACTAAAACTAGCATTCTTTCGTTTTGTGGGTCTTTTAACTTGCTGATCATGGCTTCATTCATGGATGGAGCCATGGCTAAACCATAGAATGAATGTCTGGTAATCATATCCAGTTGCGCTAATTTCTTATTTTCAATGTGATAAGACTTAATCTTGGAGTCTAAATTGAGTGTATAATCTTCATCAATCACATGTGTGACATGACATGCAATGGGTACTTTCTCTGTTTGAAATTGGGTGTTGGGAGTCCTTGTGATCTTGTAACTTTAGGGAATGACACATTAAGATTCTCAGCAATGTTGCAAAAAGGTTTTATCAGGAAAGTGGTTAGTGTGTCTATGTTGTCACCTTTGATGCAAAAAGTGTCAATGGGAGAAGAATCCCTTGAGGGCGATGATATCGGCAATCTATCCATAATCCACGCCTCTACTTCATGATTTGCATACCGGTATATTGACGGATAATTATGCTGAGATGTGACCTCCATTTGAGGTGGCTTGAACACATCCTCTTGCAGAAGATAGGAGCCGTGGATCAAGTCTGGGAATTCGGCACGCTATCGCTTATATTGTGTGCAGTTGTCATTAACGGTGTGCAAGGTTTGTTTAAATCTGCTGTTGCACGGCCATTAATACTTGCTGTGTAACATAAGCTACTAAATCTTGTTGGTAGCGGGCGCTGGATAAAGAATGGAGATTGTGTGAAAGCAGCAGGGTGTTAAAACGCTGTAGGCTGCGCGAAGGTTGGAGCCTGCGTGAAGACATGAGCTTCTGTAAACGCTGATTGATTAAAAGTGGTCTGCGCGAAGGTCAGTATCTGCCCAAAGGTATGCAGTTGCAATGCGCTTGTATCATGTGTGTTAAGAGCCTGATTGGATGACAATGAGGTGTTTGCGAAGGCTAAAACTGCACTGATCTGGGCTGTTATACGAAGTAGTAGGAGATCTAAAAACCCTTACGTCTTTTGCTTCTTGAGTTAATGATCATTGTGCTTGTGTTGTGCATACAGTTTGTTTCTTGCCAAACATTGTATGTTTTAACATGTGTATAACTTTTGTACACCTGTGGGCATTTCCTTAAAAAAGAAAACAATGGTCAACCCAGATGTCTCGTTTCAAGTAGCCATCTTGAATATTTTACGTGGCCATGAGTTATAAACTGGCTTACGTTCTATATTCTTCTTGCTTGGTACCTCATCATTGTCATACAAGAACTAGCAAGAAGGAGTAATGCAGGATAAGAAAAAATTGTAAAAATTAATCATTAGATATGATATATACAATGTTAAAGAAAGTAATCCAAGCAAAAGAATTTTGTGAAAAAAGGTTAATTTTGAATGTATGGCTTGGATTAAGGAGAACAGAAAACAAATTCCCATCTACACAGATGGTGAGAAAAAGAGTGAGTGACAAGTTACTGGTCTTGGTCACGTGGTTCCAGTGCACCTGTGTTGGATGAGATGTTTCCTCTGTTCTCCGGGAACACATAGCACAGGATGTTTCCACTATATATTCGGAAGAGAAAGACAAGCAATAAGCGTCAGGATGAGATAAACTGTATGTATCTTATGAAATGAATCAGCAGGAAACAAAACATTAAACAGACCTTCCAAAATATGTAAGAGACCAACCATTATATATATTGTCAAAAACATTCTTAACAAAAATGAGCATTTCTGATTAAAGGCAATGTTTCTATACTTACCTGACACTGCACAGTGCTTTAGCTTCCCTACCTTATACAAACAGACAGTATTTGAACGAAGAGACAGTTTAAACAGACTACAGCCCGTGCCTCGGCATCCACGAGTTATCCCCCTTGGCACCTACGCCTCATATTCTTCCCTGGATGACATCAAATGTAGATGCAGGTCAAGCCCTCTCGGAACAGAATGGTGGTCTGAAGGTAGAGAGACCATTGCTTGACAGAGGGTAAAAGCAAGGTATTCCGCACCCGGCTCAAAAAGAGGGGGAAAAACGGGACCAAAACTTTACTAGATACCGACAGAACAGTACCCAGCAACCCAAGAGGAACAGCACAAGGGATGGTCTTTCCTTGGCAACCATTTCCCTCGGAAACGGCATTGGCGTCGGGGGTTTGTCTGCTGCTGGGCCAGGACAAGTGGACCAAAGCTATGCGTACCCTCGAAGTCCTCCACAGAAATGTTGCAAAGATAATGGCTGTTGAAGACAGAAGTAGATGACCAGAAGCACCCCTCCATGATGGACTGGAAAGAGATGTTAGCATGGAGGGCCAGCGAAGAAGAGAGGGCACGGATCTCATGTGGAGTGGAGCCTGTTGGTGGTGGTAAGTCCCTCAGGATAGCAGAACAAAGACAAAGGGAAACTGTATTACGAGAGATCTCTGCAGAGACAAGGCTGGAAAGAGGAATGAACAGCCTCTGGCGCTGCTTACAATACTACTGAGACACCTGAAGGTAACATCGGAGGGCCTGAAACAGGCAGAGGGCGAGTTCCTGGTCATCATCAGGACTGACGAACTCCGAAAGTGACGGGACATGAAACTGCCAATCAGGTTGGCCAGGCAGGTGTTTTTTGGAGACAAAGTCCGAACAAAGGCCAAGGTGAACCAAGCCGTGAGGACGCTGGTCGAACCAAACATGGGTCACATCCAGGGCATGAAGCTCGCAAACCCTTGCAGCTGTCACAAGGGCCAGGAGAAAGCAAGTCTTCAAGGGGAGATCTTCAAACGAGGCAGACGCAAGCGGCTTATACTGGGCCCGGCATAAATCCTGCAAAACAACATTGAGATCCCAAGCTGGGATTTTTTAGTCCATGGCAAAAAGGTCAGGAATCGATGATAGCCAAGAACCCCTAGCAATCTTCAGGACAGAATTGAACGCAGCAAGATAGGTTGCAATTGTGGAACCAGCCAGGTGATGGGACTGGCGAAAAAAAACAAAAAATGAGCCACCTGTGGAACGGTGGCCTCCACTGAAATGATGTGCCCTGACAAGCAGAAAGCCTGGAATGACCGCCACTTGTCATCATATAGGGTACAAGTGGAGGAACGATGAGCTCGGGAAACAGCCGCCACAGCACTTACTGGAAATTCTTTTGCGATCAGTGACTTCTGGAGACACGCAGGGTCTGGATGCAGCCGTATGGTGTGAGGATTGAGCAGCAGATTTGTCCACGCCGGGAGAAGCAACATGGCCTTGCCAATGCGAGGCACAAGGGAGATGATCCACACGCCAAGCAGGCATATCCGCAGGAGTGAGAGACTTGGTCAGAGAAGCTTCGTTATAGTCAGGCACAAAATGTTGCTCATCATCCAAAGGGCGGAGAGGTGACGTAAGGGAGGACTCCAAAGTCTGGCACCCTGTGCCCGGACGCGACTGGACGGCGACTGATGGCAACGGTCTGGCAATAGCTCACGACGATTCGGCGATAGCTGGCGATCCGGCAGGCACTGGCGATGGTCCGGCCCCGGCTGTTGATGAGCTGGTGACGCCTGAGGACGATCCGGTGACAACTGGCGACACTGACCAGGCGTAACTGATGACGGCATGGGAACGCCGTCCCGGCAGATGACAGGAGGCAAGAGCAGGTCGTCTGAACGATGCTGAAGGAGTTGCTTCCAAAAGCCACAAACAGCCATAGGATTAAAAAAAAATCAAGTGGCGCAGATGGCGTAGATTGGGGAGGTCTGTAATTTACAGGAGAGAGCAAACAGTGCAGCGATGGTCAAATGAGCTCGCAGGCTTGCAATAGGGTCAAAGCTGATGTGGGTCTTTCCCCGACTTGGGCCTTTTACATAAAGCACAACTCATAGAATACATCCTGCAACAAAATGTAAACAGAGCATAAGTGTAACGAGCAGAATCACATATGAAGCAAAACATGTTTTATTTAAACATATTTATTCACAAGGAGTGAACGGGATTGGGGGATAAGTTCTTCCAACTTAGAATGCCCTCTTGCTGGTATTTACAAAAATTTTGCAATTTCAAATTCAATATAAATGCACATACAACACGAGAGAGAGCGAGAGAGAGAGATTGTTGAATGAACACTTCTTTACACAAATCTTTTAGTTGTACATATATAATGTTGTACTGCCTTAAATATAGCTTCATTTTCTGTAACACCGTGATCTGCATTGCCGTATCAACAGGTATGTTATGAACAATATTTTTAAGGCTGTTTAACATAATTTCACACTGATGACTAAACAATGTACATTCCATGAGATAATGATATGCATTTTCACATGTATTCGAACATGTACAGTTCGGGTGATCTTTTATACCAATTCTATATAAATCATAATTCAATTGACAACACATGTATCTCAGTTTTGTGTGTAAGATATTATATTTTCAAAACATTGTTACTGGACAATATGTGAACCAAGCGCACAAACACACAAATGCAACTCGGGAATTGGCCTAATTAATAGGAATTATGTCAATACAAAGCATAATCAACAAAATAAATAACTCTGTTCTTGTACACGTCTGTCCATAGAGCAGAGAAGAATATGAGGAGTAGAGGCCAAGGGGGATAACTCGTGGATGCTGAGGCACGAGCTGTAGTCTTTTTAAACTGTCTCTTTGTTCCAGTACTGTCTGTTTGTTTAACATAGGGAAGCTAAAGCACTGTGTCGCGTCAGGTAAGGTAGAACATAATTATGCTTCAGGGCTGTTGGAAAAAAATATACCTGCAACAAAAATTACATTATTGCAAGGTGTTTTTCTCTTCATTTTCATAGTTTTAAACAGAAATACATCTGATTTTGTACTATCTGATTTTGTATTTATCTACTCTCAACACAAAATCCCAGTCCTCACCCATGATATCAAATGGTCAGTCCCCAAGTGAATACAAGTAAATAATAAAATAATGGTTGCCCAACAACTATGGGCAAGCTGGGACTAAGAATCAGCATCAATCTTGTCCTAACAGATCTCATATATGGGCAGTGCCCAGGATAACTTACCTGTGGTGTCAGTTCCACTTCCAACTCCCCAGATAAATATTGACGCTCAAACTCTGCATTTTCTCCGACATACGATGAGATCATTCGCTTGATCTGGAATCAAAGATGCACATATATACCAGTATTTACAAACACAAACATATATTTTCACATACAAAACATATCAGTATTTACACATACATTCACAAAGCATTTTATGTTAAAAAAAGGAAGCACTGATGCTTTTATCAGATATCTTTTTGTGAAATTGTCTCAACATCATCATGCTTTCTGAATCCCTTAATTAGTCTGTACCACTCTACCTGTCTTTCTTTCAGCAGAAGACCCAGTCCAAAATTATCAACGCCTGCATTGTTGCTGACAACAGTTAGAACTTTGACTTGTTTGTGAATCAAAGCTCTGATCAAGTTTTCTGGGATGCCACAAAGACCAAACCCTGTAACATCAACAAACACAGAATGGTCAGATAAGTAGTATAGGTAATGATGGTTCTGGCTCACTTCCACTGGAGCAGGATTCATTACCTATACTGCTACTACAGAGGGAATTTTTTATGCCAAAATGATTATGCGATTCAACGATAGTCATAAGATTCAGCTAAATTGACTCCAGCACACCACCACCTGGAGTCTATGATATAAATTTTTATAGGTAATGATGGTTCTGGCTCACTTCCACTGGAGCAGTATTCATATACCTAGACTGCTACTACAGGTGGCATTTTTTATGCCAAAATGATTATGCGATTTAACGATAGTCATGAGATTAAGTTAAATTGGCTCTAGCTCACCAATACCTTTAGATGAGCCTAAATGGTAATAAAAATATTCTTCATTATTTTTATCGATAAAGCGATATTCAACATTTTTATTAAGTTCTTCGTTCATTTTACTAGGAGACCAGACTATATAACTACACTCTTCTTGTAAATTGATAAGAAACAATTGATAACCGTATTTGGTTGGTTTGACATCACTGATATAATAAAAACCTTGTGGTAATTCTCTCCATTTAATAGCTTTCTCCATTATTATATATTTATGTAAGTATTTGTCTAAATGTGATCAAACGATAGTAAGCAATCTATTTTTAATCTCCAACCAGTTCTTTGGTTTTGGCACGGAATAATTGACGCGCTTGTTGCCTCCCCTGTTCTATGAACTTTTTTTTCTCGTCTTCGCTAATACCATTGGTCTTATGAGATTTTGATCGAATCTCCTGCTTCATTTCATTGTATTTGGTGAGTTCCGACGGCACTAAACGAAACTCATCTTCGGATATCTTACAATCGGCCAATGCTGTCGAAATATGATCCTCAATGCTGTTCAACTTTGCTTCGGCGAGTATCCGAATACTATCGTGTTTTAATGCTTTCTTTTGTAACCTACGAGAAATGAATTTTATCGCTATTCCTGCCAGTCCCGAGACTCCAGTGGTTATTTCCATGCCGAGCACGATAGGCGCAGCGATTATAGTTGATAGTAAACCGATACCCGCTACACCGAGTCCCATGCCAGATACTACAAGCGCGGTGTCAACTCCGTCCAGAGCATTCACGGTTCTGCGATACTTTTTATACAATCCAAGTCTCAACTCCCTATCCTTCTCTATTCGATGTTTTATGTCGCTTATTTGATGTAATCGAAATCCATCAACAGTTTCCATCTTTTCAAATGCTTCATCGAGCGCTGGATATAAACTCACAGTGTATATTACGATCATATAATAGTCTTTAAATGGTCTTGCTTAAATGTTTTTAGACTATACATCAACCTTATCAAATGTATATTATACGGCAAGAATATCATAGAAAGAGAAATACTGTCACTTTTAATAATTTGGACCCCCTCGAGGGTTGCAACGGGTGATGCTCCGATATGAATAATACTGCAACGTCGACGCTCGTGTTTCTTTAGCCATTTAATCGATAGACCTGGTAATATTTCGAAGGCATTTTCCGGTGCATCTCCGAACAAGACTTCAATAATAAGCGTGGAAATATTAGGTATTGCACTCAAGTTATCTTTAATATCTTCAAATTCATTAATCAAATTTAAAGTAACATTTTTTAAGGCCGGACGACTATATAACATATGACCTGGGTTTTCTGGCAGGGGGGTAACTAACACACTTTTTCGTTTTGACGGGATATAATCCGCGAGTACGATGCCACTATTTATTATCTTAGTTAAATTATGTCCCTTACCCATCATCACATAAGGTGGGGTAATGACGATATTCAGTAGCCACTCGATGTTTGCTTCGACCATAGTCCATTTATTCTCGCCGTTGAGAATAATATTGTACAAAGTGTTTTTAATGAGTCTACTAACGTCGACATCGCTTAAATCTTCTAGATTACCCGTGAATGTGACTTCTTTCCTCTTATATACATTATCGTGTTAGTGTAAAGCGTATAACTTACCATTGTAACCGGGTTTATCAAATTCTTCCGTTTCTCCGAGATCGGAAAGCGCAATTGTATTACATTGTCTGAGCATTCCAGGGCCTGATGCATCAACCATTATTTTTAATATGGAGTGTTACACTTAAGTATCCTATATGTACAGGTTGATGTTTTACATCTAATACAGAAATTTTGAGGTCTGAAATAATACCACGCTTCAATTTTTTATATTGTAATGACGAGAAAGATTCCGTTCTACCGCTATTATATTTTTCATTTTTCACTGGAACAGATCTGAGTAGAGTTGAAGGACTTTCTAGTTGAATATTATCCGTCGTGCTTATTTGATCAAGATGGATGAACAACTCTTTATAGGGAACTAAATCAGGTAATTTAACATCAGGATGTGTGCCAACTAAGCGTGTAAATTCAAGTGTAGGTGATCGGTCCAATAAACCTATAGTTTCTTCATGGTCGAATTTCACTGTCCCAGTCGCCTCATTTTGTGTGAGACTAATTCTATTAGGCTTAAAAATTTCATCATTGAGTGAGCTTACGCTGTAATACCCATCAGGTATAGTAATGGATTTGACATTACCACGTGAGGATACTATCATTATCCTATTATTATCTTTTGCAGCATTTATATTGGTCCACCACGGGTAATACGTTACATCGCATAGAGCGACTTGAGTTGTCCATCTGAGTTATCGATAGTACGAAGCAGTTGAATAGACTGGCCATTTGTTATTCCTGGGAGTGTAACATACATATATACAATGATACTATATCATAACTTAAATATGGAATCAACCATTATTTATAATATGGAGTGTTACACTTAAGTATCCTATATGTACTGGTTTGTGTTTTACATCTAATATAGAAATTTTGAGGTCTGAAATAATACCACGCTTTAATTTTTTATATTGTAATGATGAGAAAGATTCCGTTCTACCGCTATTTTATTTTTCATTTTTCACTGGAACACTTCTGAGCAGAGTTGAAGGACTTTCTAGTTGAATATTATCCGTCGTGCTTATTTTGATCAAGATGGATGCACAACTCCTTATAGGGAACTAAATCGGGCAATGTATCTCCATGTTTTGTTACATTGGATTGTATAGGTTCGTAGATTGTAAATCCAAGTTTAGGTGATAAGTTGTCGGGAATAAATACACCTTTTTCTCCAGTGACTAATTTCAGCATCCCAGTCGCCTCAATTTGTGTGAGAATAATTACATGAGGCTTAAAAATTTCATCATTGAGTGAGCAAATGCTGTAATACCCATCAGGTATATTAAAGGATTTGTCAATTATATTTTCGTTTATCGTTGTAAACATCTCATTATTATATTTTGCAGCATTTATATTGGTCCACAGTGGGTAATACGTTACATCGCATAGGGCAACTTTGAGTTGTCCATCCGAGTTATCGATAGTATGAAGCAGTTTAATAGACTGACCATTTGTTATTCCAGGGAGTGTAACATACATATTAAATATACAATGATACTATATCATAACTTAAATATGAAATCAACTTACATTACTAATCAGTCGATTATAGTAACTGCCTCCGGTGCTGAGTTTACCGTTAAATTCCACGATATCTTTGAAAAATACAGTTTCACGGCAACTAACGATACAATGGTGGACGATTGGTTTAACCGTCCGATGCAATTTTGGCAGAATCAGTTAAACTTTGCCGTATGGTGTGCCACAACGGGATGTGGCGTATCTGTTAATGCCCCAGGATTTAAACTATATAAGTCTGTTATATTATTTCACGTGTACTATCAGATTAGACGTATACTTAAAGAAATTAGTGCTCCATTACCGCTGGATCCAGCATGGAATCACGCAAATAATCATTATAATAAGAGGGCCTTCGAACGTATTTGTAATGAATTTAATGTTTCTACGAGTAAAGATTGGCGCATTAAAGGACCTAGCCATGGTCTAGGTATTCCGTACAATGGACAAAGAGCTATTAAAGATAAAAGCGATTATTTAATTAAAGAGGGTGTGATCCCTTCAGGCTTTGCTCTCTCGAGTAAACAGTTTAGAGCAGATCGTATGAACTTTGAGAGCGGCATTCCTTATATTATAACAAAGTTTGTGCATCCAAACGATACAACAGATGCTTGGAATGAATTTCTTAATGATAAAACAGAAAATAATTTTACTAACCCAGGATTTGAAAGAGTTAATGAATCGATAAGAACTTATGTATGGGCAATTCTCGGTGCACAATCGCAAACACGAACGTCCATTATCGGTACTGGGACGGGGTTCGATGCGCAAAAACAGTTTGTCGCAAATGTGGAGGACGCCATTAATTCACCAGTTGACATACCATCGTCTATAAAGCGTTTTCAAGATGCATTACAGTACGCTCAATCAAAAGTGGACTACGTTTATGCGCCGGGACTATACATGTCTCCGAGTAATATGGAACTTAAGATCGGTCAAGTGATAGGCTATAATAATAAAATTGTTATCGCTACCGATTAACAAAAACCAGGTATAAATTCAGATATGAATGTCGAATTAATAACGCAAACGATCACGGGCGAAAAGGGAATAGTCAAGCCACAAACACCAACTATCGCTCAACCATCTACTAACGCACAAACATCTACTGACGCACAAGTGCCACCGCATATTGAGGCTAAAAATCAACAACATATCGATGAAAAAACAGCGCTTGTAGTGGGTGGAGTCTCGGTTGGCTTACTCATGATTTGGTGGTTAAATAGTTCTTAGCGAATACGTACAACAGCCCTGCAATTGCTACGATCAGCCCCCACAAGTTTTGACTAAGCCAAGTGGTGGTCTTAGCTAATAAATTCAATAGCCAGGAAACTATACTCCCTATTATACCGGGAAGTGCGGCCGCGGCTTTCTCAGTGAGCTTTCCCAGTGCTGAACCTAATGCTTTTAAATGCTTTTTTATCCACTCTTTTATCCCATTTTTATCGTTAGGCGGTGTACCACCACCTGTACTGCCACCTGTTAATGAGAGA